TAGTATGCTTAATGAAAAAGTAAGGTGAAAAGATGTAGACCCTAGGAATCAAGCTCTGGTTATAGAGAACAGGGGTAGAAACATCGACAGAGGTCAGGATCCAAAAGGTCGTGATAAGTCTAAACATAGATCCAAGTCTAGAGGTAAAGTGAAGTGTTTCTATTGTGGTAAGACAGGTCATATAAAACGAAAATGTAAAATCTTGAAGCAAGAGCGAAAAGATGAGAAAGGTAAAAGTTCAGATGATGGTAATGTTATAGTAGTGAATTCAGATAGTGATTCAGTTACTTTGATTTGTACACATGATGATTGTAATCATGTTAGTGATCCCGATATTGAGTGGATAGTTGACACAAGAGCGGTATTTCATTGTGTTCCTAAGAGAGTTATTTACAACTTACAAAGTAGGAGACTTTAGTTGTACCAAAATAAGAAACAAAAGTGTGTCACAGATTATTGAGATTGGTGATATTGTTGTACAAACTAGTACAGGCTGCATGTTGACTTTGAGGGATGTCAAACACATTCCAGATATAAGAATGAACTTGCTTGCTATTAATGTCCTTGATAAGGAGGGATATGAAAGTCGACAAAAGAATGGACAGTGAAAGCTTCTCAAAGAATCTATGGTAATTACAAGGGAAAAACTATGCTGCACAATGTATAAGACATGGATGTAATTGAACGGTAACCAGGTAAATACCGTTGAAAATGATACTTCAGTAAACTTATGGCACAGGAGGCTGGCACACATGAGTGAAAAAGGGTTACAGGTTTTGGTAAGACAGTCTCTCATTCCTTTGACCAAAAGTATGTCTCTCGATTCATGTGATTATTGTTTGTTTGGTAAGCATCATAGAGTTTCTTTTCGTAAAAGTTCTCAGAGAAAAGAAAATAGATTGAAATTAATTTATTCTGACGTATGTGGTCTCATTGAGGTTGAGTCATTAGGTGGTAGCAGATATTTTGTTACTTTTATTGATGATGCTTCACGTAAGACTTGGGTGTATATGTTGAAATACAAAAGTTAGGTACTGCAGTATTTTCAAAAATTTTATGCCATGGTTGAAAGGATGACAGGGTTACCCTTGAAGTGTATTCGAACTGATAATGGTGGAGAATACACATCTAAAGGCTTTGAAGAATATTGTTTAAAGCATGGGATCAGGCATGAAAGGATAGAACTTGGAATACCGTAACATAATAGTATAGCTGAAAGAATGAATCGCACCATTGTGAAAAAAATCAGATGTATGTTGAGGATGGTAAAATTATCAAAGCCATTCTAGGTTGAAGCAGTCAACACAGCTTGTTATTTACTTAACAGGTCACCATCAGTTCCTTTGGGCTTTGACATTCCAGAAAGAGTGTGGACAGAAAAAGATACTTCATACTCTCATTTGAAAGTTTTTTGGTGTAAAGCATTCATACATGTACCAAAAGAGCAGAGATCAAAGCTTGACAGTAAAGCCATACAATGTGTGTTTGTAAGATATGGTGATGAAGAATTTGGTTATAAGATATGGGATCCAGTAAAGAGAAAGACAATCAGAAGCAGAGATGTGGTCTTTCATGAAAAAAAAATCATAGCAGACCTTAAAAAAATGAGAAGACTACACGAGTTACTGTTGAGTGTGATGTTTTAACACCGACAGAGATTCCACAGGAAAGAGTCACAGATGGTGAAAATAAGCAAGAAATAGAACTTGAAGATATGAATGAGCCAGTCACAGTTGGTGATAAGCCAGATGCTATTAGTTTTGAGCAGATGGGTCAATCTTCTCTACCTGAGAGTGTTGAGTAGGGGGAGCTACCTTCGACATCAAGTGATGTAGAGTCTCAGCCCAAGAGATCTACTAGAGAGCACAGACCATCTACCAGGTATCCAAGTTTAGATTTTATTTTAGTTACCAGTAAAGGGGAGCTAGAAAACTTTCAAGATGTGTAGGTTACTCCGGATAGAGAGCACTAGTTAAAAATAATAAAAGAAAAGATGGGGTCATTACGAAAGAATGGTACTTATGATCTTGTTAAACTTTCAACAGGGAAGAGGCCATTAAAGAATAAATGGGTATTCAAGTTAAAAAAAGATGGTGATAAACTAGTGAGGTACAAAGCTCGATTGGTAGTAAAAAGTTTTTCTCAGAAACCAAGCATCGATTTTGATGAGATTTTTGCTTTAGTTGTAAAAATGAGTTTTATTCGAGTGGTACTGGGATTGGCAGCTAGTTTGAATCTTGAACTTGAGCAACTTGATGTTAAAACTGCATTTTTGCATGGTGATTTATAGGAGGACATTTATATGAATCAACCTAAGGGTTTTGAAGTGAAAGGGAAAGAACATTTAGTTTACAAATTGAAAAAAAACTTGTATGGCTTGAAACAAGCTCCGTGATAGTGGTACAAGAAGTTTGATTCTTTTATGATGAGTCATAGCTATAAAAGAACAGCAGCGGATTCTTATGTGTATGTTAAACAATTTTCTAATGGTAACTTCATTATCCTATTATTATATGTTGATGATATGTTGATTGTAAGACAAGATGCTAGTATGGTTTGCAGGTTGAAAGAACAATTATCTAAGTCCTTTGATATGAAAGATTTAGGTCCAGCAAAACAGATTTTTGGTATGGACATTATCCAGGATAGGAGAGCTGAAAAGCTGTGATTGTCATAGAAAAAGTATATTGAACGAGTGCTTGGTAGATTCAACATGCAACATGCTAAATCAGTTAGCAGTTCACTTACCAACCATTTTAATCTAAGTAAGAAATCTTGTCCAGTGTCTAAGAAAGAGAAACTAGCTATGTCTAGTATTCCTTATTCTTCTGCAGTCGATTCTTTAATGTATCTTATGGTTTGTACAAGGCCTGACATTACTCATGCAGTTGGTGTAGTGAGCAGATTTCTTTCTAACCAGGGAAGGTTCACTAGGAAGCAGTGAAATGAATTTTTAGATATTTGAGGAGTACCTCAAAAATGTGCTTGACTTATGGAGTTTCACAATCAGTTCTAGAAGGATTTACTAATGCTGACATGACAGGCGATCTTGATGGTAGGAAATCTACTTCAGGGTATTTGTTCACTTTTGCAGGAGGAGCTGTATCTTGGCAATCTAAGTTGCAGAAGTGTGTTGCTTTGTCAACTACAGAGGCTGAGTATATTGCAACAACCGAAGCATGTAAAGAAATGCTTTGGATGAAACATTTTCTTCTTGAATTGGGGTTGAATCAGAAAGAGTATATGGTATTTTGTGATAGCCAGAGTGCTTTAAATTTGAGTAAGAATACCATGTACTATGCTAGAACAAAGCACATTGATGTTAGATATTATTGGTTACGTTCAGTGATTGAAGAACAACAGATGTTATTGAAGAAAGTCCATACTGATAAGAATGTAACAGATATGTTGACTAAGATAAAAAGCTTGAGCTTTGTAGTAACTTGACCGGAATGAGTTTCCTGGCCAAGGTAAGTTCCAAATGAAACTGCTATGGTGATGAATCTCCTCCTAATGGGGTTGGAGGGGGAGATTGTTAGGAAAATGGAGTCCAGTCCCATGTAAGTGGTTTTGGACCAAGTAAAGGCCATGGGCCTTGATCTTTTATTTTACACAGAGCCCTAGCTACTTAATAAAAAAGAGGTGGGGTTGGTTTAGGTGTGTGTCGAAAATCAAGCAAAAAAAAAAGAAAAGCCAAGAAAAGCAGAGAGAGAAAAAGGAGAAGGAAGAGTTAGTTGAACGGAAGTCGATCTGTGGTCCGATTGAGTTGGAACCTTGTCAGGAGGTTTATGATTCAGAGTTCTACATTTTGAACGGTGAATATCGGGTTTGAAGCTCTCTAGGAACAAATCCAGGGTGTATTTGTTGAGTCACTTATTTGATGAGATTTCTCCAATTATTTTTCTAGTTGTTGATTAGCTCTAGTTTTAGCTAGAGAAGAACTTGTATAACTATTATTTGATAGTGAAGATTTTTCTGGTGGCCCGTGGTTTTTTTCCTCTACACTGGAGGGTTTTTCATGTAAATCTTGGTGTGCTTTATTTTTCTTGCGTATTTGATTATTGATTGTTGTCTATTGCTTCTGTATTATTGTGATTATTGCTTCAGGCGCAATAAAAAACTGATCCATGATTTGAATAAAATATGTATTTAACAATGATTTGTGATTAATAATTGATGAATTGACATGTTTTGATATTGATTTATGATCTACGAAATATTTGAGGTAATGATAATATTTAAAATATTTTGACATTATGATTTGATGAATATTTTGAATGATCTATCTGATATGCATAAAAACGATGCTTGATTTGATAACGTGTGTGAGCTTATACTTGTTTAGCTGTGATTTGTTCATTCTCTTTTTGTTTTTTCTTTACAGACGAGTAAGTGATAAGTTTGCTTAATTTTATGAAAAGCTAAAAGATCAAATGAGAAAATTACTTAATCGTCAAAGATAATATTGGCCAATGAGATCTTATGAAACGATTTTATATTTTATATAATTTGTATTTGGATGTATGAAAATATATCATTAGTTAGATTAAAGATATAAATTATATCAATTTATTAACGAATTTTAAAATAATTAATAAAAAAAACTTTATATTACTTTAAGATTTATTTTAAATAATATGATCGTATTACGTTTTGATCCATAACGTAACAGTTTTTAACGGGAAAACTCCCGCTTGTAATACATGATTGTTCCTTTTCCATTCGAGTTCAAATATGCCAGACGTTTTTGCTAACAGTTTGAAGTGTGTTGAGCTCTCTCACATGTAGGGGATTTGTTCCATCTGTAGCATGCATTTCGGGGCACAATGCTTAAAGCATCAACTTGTTTCAGTGGTGCTTATGTTTTGGGGCTTTGCTTCTTATCTTTTTTTCTCCAATTATTATTACTTTGAAGACACGCCAGAGCAAGAAACCCTACAAGATAAAAGGATAGATTCTTATTGTTTAGAAGAAAAAAACTCTTTCATTGTCATATAACAGAGTCTGATCCTGTTTTTTGTCTCTTAGAGAAGGAATGGGACCAAAATTGCTTTTTGCCTCTATGAAAAACAAAAAACTTTTCTGGAATCTTTGACGAACGATAGGAAAAGATGGTTACTTTTTGCCTGTTGCTATGAGCTTAAAACTTGCTAGTTAGCATTTGTCTTTTCGAAAGCAACACTCTTTCAATCAATAACCATGGAAGCTAGTGAACAAGACAGAGTAGCCACAGTACCAAAGCCGTCACTGTAGAAACAAGTCGACAAACAAAAACAATTAGGAAAATTCGCAGACGTTTCCTTGAAGCTTCTCTCAATAAAACCCAATTCTCCATCTTTTCGCTTTCCCGCTTCCCTCTTTTTTACCTTTCTCTTTCAATTTTTTTGGAAAATTAAAATGAAAAGAAAGGAAAAAGTGAGAGAGAGAAATTTGATTCATTTTTTCCGGATATAATTGAATCGCAATTGAAGAGAAAGAGAAGGTTTTCGAGTTTGTGTTTGTTTTTTAAGAAAAGAAAAGTTCAAAGTGAAGAGCAGAAAAAAAACAGAAGAGTTTGATTTTATTTTAGTATTTTTTTCTGGTATTTTCTTGGCAACCAAACAGACTTGAGTTTGAAGATGCAAACGAGGTATATGGAGAGGTCCAATAGTATGGCGCGAGATAAGAGAGGTTTGGATTCGAGTTCTGGTGATGAAGGGCCTGAAAGGAAACGACCAGCCCTTGCAAGGTCTATCTTTATCCTTCTTTTCTGTTCCAAATCAAACATTTTGTTATTTTTTGTCTGTCTTTCATGTTTTGCTTTTTTTTTTTGTTGATGTAAGGAAAAGGGTTTTATTGAGCCTTGAGTGAACTGAATCTGAAAAAAAGTTATTATTAAATGGTTTAGATGCTGTCAGAAGTTGTTGGAACAGAAAAAAAAAAAAAAAAACTCTTAACTGCTGTCACAAGAAATAAAATGTGGGGTTTTCTCTTTTATAAAAAAAATGTTTTTTAATTTAAAAGAAATAATTTTGGATTATTCTAATTTGATTAATAAAATAAAAAAAGTTGACAAATCAAGAGAAAATGTGATAAAAAAGCACGAAGGCCATACTTGTGTCACTAACTCTGTCATGTCAGCAAGGTTAAAATGGGACATGGGTGTTGGTGCAGTTGCAGTTTCTTGACAGACCTTAGGAAACTGATAAAAAAAAGTCTTTCTTGCCTTGACTTTACTGATATTGACTACTGAGGAATCTATATTTGATGTATACTTCTGACTGGGGTTTGATTCATCTTTGTGTCAAAATTTTATTGAAACTCCTGCTATTTGTCAGTGGGGAAATACTAAAGAAGTTGTTTTGTAAACATAGAGCTTTGACCTTAATGCAGTGTGATTGTTGAAGCTCTGAAGGTGGATGGTCTGCAGAAACTTTGCTCATCATTGGAGCCTATTCTTCGGAGAGTTGTAAGATCCTGAATTTTATTCTTCTCTTTGAAGTTCTTACTTAGTTAATGTTCTCATTTGGAGGGGTGATGTTCTATAAACTCATAACTCTTCTGGTATCGGCTATATTAACAGGTCAGTGAAGAAGTGGAACGTGCTTTAGCAAAACTAGGCCCTGCCAAGCTTACTGCTAAGTATGAACTCTTTTATTTTAGCTTTAAATCTTGTAAATATCAGAATAAAATGGTTTCAATACATTTGGAAAGTTTCTTTATTTGTCATTGCTGAACCTCCATTAATATTGTACTGCAAAATAATCAAGAGGAGGTTTGGAATTACCCTTGTGTTGTACTAGTGCATTTTGTTTTTCCTTAACAAATGTGCCCCATCACTGTTGTGCTTGTGCTAACATTATCATCTGTTATAGACCTGTTGTGTCCTTTATTGCATTAATTCCCATGTTATTTGGCTTCAAATTTCATCTCTCCATTTTAGGATAGCATATTTGGCATGACCTCTCTCTTGATTATTCAGAAGTCTGGTGACAGTTGTTCCGATTGATGCACTTCCTCCCTGCATTCTTCAAATTAATGTGTTTTGTGTGTGTGTGTGTATGTACCATTAGTGTATTTTGGAAAGTGTTTGTTATGCCTCTACCTCTTGTTTTCTTTCTTGAAATGATTTAGAAAATGCAGGTCTTCTCCTAAACGGATAGAAGGACCTGGTGGAAGAAATTTGCAGCTGCACTTTAGATCCAGGTTGTCCCTCCCTCTCTTTACTGGAGCGAAAGTCGAAGGGGAGCAGGGTGCTACTATCCATATTGTCTTGATTGATACAAACACTGGTCATGTCATCACATGTGGTCCAGAATCCTCAGTGAGACTCGATGTTGTTGTGCTTGAGGGTGATTTCAACAAGGAAGATGATGATGACTGGACTCAAGAAGAATTTGACAGCCACATTGTCAAGGAGCGCGAAGGGAAGAAGCCACTACTAACTGGAGATCTGCAGGTGATGATGAAGGATGGTGTAGGAACACTAGGGGAGCTAACATTTACTGACAACTCGAGCTGGATTAGGAGCAGGAAATTCAGGCTAGGGCTAAAGGTTGCCTCCGGCTCTTGTGAAGCCATCCGAATTCGTGAAGCGAAAACAGATGCCTTCACTGTTAAGGATCACCGAGGAGAATGTAAGTTTTAACATCTGTATTTGTGAAGCGAAAATAGACTTTGGTTATTTGACAGCCAGTTAATCATTGCCTTTTCCTTGTTTTTCCTTAATAGTATACAAGAAACACTATCCGCCTGCATTAAACGATGAGGTCTGGAGATTGGAGAAGATTGGCAAAGATGGGTCATTTCACAAGAGGCTCCATAAAGCTGGAATTTTTACGGTTGAAAACTTTCTACGACTTGTGGTTACAGACTTACAGAGGCTGAGAAATGTAAGTCTTTGCGTCTCACCCTCAAATTAGAATTATATTTTGTTCTTCTGTCTGTAACTATTTTTGGATCCATTTCTTGTAGATTCTTGGAAGTGGAATGTCTAATAAGATGTGGGATGTTCTGGTGGAGCATGCAAAAACTTGTGTTCTAAGTGGGAAACTTTATGTTTATTACCCTGACGATGTGAGGAGTGTTGGCATAGTCTTTAACAACATCTATGAGTTGAGTGGCCTAATCGCTTATGGACAATATTATGCAGCTGATTCTCTTTCAGACGATCAGAAGGTAAAAAAAACTTGCACTTCTGATATGTATTTGATTTAGTTTGCATTTATCTTCAAACCCATTTAGTTTACAATGTGTTCATGTATTAATAATAAAATGGAAGATTTGTCTACTCCTTCCCTAATTTTCCCATATGATTTACCTTTTTTATGTTGATTGGAGCTGTGCAAACTTTGTTTGAAAGTCACAGTCTTTTGTTTTAACAAGTTGAATTCAACTACTCTTTTGTTTCGAGTACTTAATTTGGTACAGCACTTGCCTATGTTCCTTAACGTTCGTGCCATAATATAAATGATACATACAAAAAAAGCTTGAGAAAACTTCCAATCGTTATGTTCTTATAGGTTTATGTGGATGACTTGGTAAAGAAGGCATATGAAAATTGGATGCATGTTATAGAGTATGATGGCGAGTCTCTACTAGGCTGTAACGAAGATGATAGTGCAGGTGCTTCAGAAGCCAAAGTTCCAATGGATCCGCAAGGTTATCCAAGTTTGATTAACCAGCAGCAGACTCTACCAAGCCTGTCAGTTCCAGTTCCTTCGGAGCAGCCTCCCATGGATTTTGGAGGTATAAATCCTTGACTGAACATGAACTTGAATTTCATATAAAATTGTCATTTTTTACAAACTACTTTTGAGTACATAGGTGAAGTGAAAACAATCCCTCTTCCTTGCTCTTTTCTTAAAAGTACAATAAAATGAAAAAGGTTCTTTACTCATGGTGTCTGCTTTCTTGCTTTTCAGACTGTTACTTGCATATTAAATTTTTCCATCTGTACATGTTTGTTTGACTTTGTTCTCCGTCTCTCTAGGTTATGACGATAGTATGGCTGCCAGAATGTCGATGCAATCACGAAATGTACATCTTAATTCTCAGACTTTGTTGAACGGTGCTTCATTCACTCTACAGAACCCCTTGGTCAGTGATTCACAGCAGGTCCAGCTTTCAGGAAATGAGAATGAGCTAGCGCTTGGCCCATCTCAGTCATCCATGCCAGGTTTCCATGGTGCTGCCACATCAAATATTCCTACTTATAAGGGAGTCGAGGATATCTTCTCAGAGGAGGAGATTCGAATGAGAAGTAATGAGATGCTTGAAAATGAAGATATGCAGCATTTGCTTCGTATCTTTAACATGGGAAGCCATGAACATCCTCCCTTTAATGCTTCTGAAGATGGTCATCCTTATTCCTCAACATATACGCCCACCCCATCTCTGAATTATGGTTTTGTTAACAAAGGTTCTCGTTCATCTGGCAAAGCTGTAGTTGGATGGCTCAAGCTCAAGGCAGCTCTGAGATGGGGCATCTTTATTAGGAAAAAGGCTGCTGAAAGGCGGGCACACCTTGTTGAGGTGGATGATTCATAGATTTAGCGTTTGAGGCAAAGCTGTCTGGATGCGGTGTTAGTAGGCATCCTTCCATCTCCCTGCCCGATTCTAACCCAACCAGAGCAAGGACTCAAGGACTTTTGAGTTTTTGGCAGGGTCTGTCTCTTCAAACCCTTGCATAGGTTGGATTCTAACTCTGCCATCCAGGGACCTTTCTGCTTGGACATTTCTTCTCTGTACGGTAAGCTTCCATCATAACTAGTAGGTTTCGGTTCAGTTAGTGTCCTAACGGCAGAGGCTTGAAATGTTATCAACGGGAAGCGTATCCAGCACGACTTCTAGTGGCAGGTGTAACAGATGTATGTTACTACTTGACTAGCATCTCTGCTACGTATTTTCTTCTGTTGAGATCTAACGAAATAAAAGGGGCATGTTTTATGTTTTTTGACTTGTGACATGAAAAGTAAATGTCAGTGGTAGTGATAACCCCGCTTAAAATCTCATTGCTGCATAATGGAACTCTGTTTTTATTTACCCTGGGCCTTTCCTCCTGTATTACAATGAGATTCATATTCTCACTTGAGGCTATTATGGTTTTTTGTGCTTAAAAAGTTGTCCATGAGGAAGCTCTGTTTAAGGGAGTTATGGAAATGTCTTGTTCACGGCTGCATAGTGCATGGATGGCTACATGAAAATACTTGCCCGCCCCTTATGCGGGGATCAAGTTCGACATAATTGAGGAAATATGACAGCGTACATAACAGAGGGTAGGTCCAACCATAGTTAAGAATACAATGTGCTCATCTGATCCCTCTCAGGAGATCCCAAGCCACCCTTCAATGTCCTTTCATTTTCTATGAATCTCTTTGACTCTGCCTGTCTCTGTCTCTCTGCTTTTCCTCTGCGGGGCACCTTGAAAACATTAATCCGTCTTATTAAGAAAACGAATGCAGATAAGCTCGTGAAACAAGAAAAACATTTTTGTCTGCCAACTAATCTCTCAAACTAGAACCCTAAGATTCGGCGTTAGTGCAATACAATCTCTATAATATATAAATATATAAATATATATATATATATATAACAATTTTTTTTCTTATAGTTGACAAAAAGTTTGCAGAGAAATATGATGAACGTCAGAGGGAACAGTCATTCGGTATCCGAAACATTATCTTCATCTTCATCCAGTATGTAGACCAAGGCACGCTTTCTTGCAGCAAAAACACAAGCTACGCCTCTAGATGCTGTTACAATAAATTTGAACATAAACGTCAAGAAGATCCAACCGAATTGACATATAGGGCAGTGCAAGGATGTTTTAGTTTGAAAGTTTACCACTAACTGCCAGAGGAGCGACGACAGAGTGAGGAATAATTCGAACCTTTTCATTCTCCAGTTGTAAGTACCGAACAGAGTCCTATATGCACATAGATATAGTTTACAACTAGTAAGTACTCCACTACAAAGTACACAATTGCAACTAAGCTATAAGCAAAGTATATCAGCTCGCGGAACTATATATGCTCACATAAATTACAGAAACAAGGGAGGAGATGAAAAAAAGATGCTTCAGATGGAGAAGGAAAAACCAGGGTATAGTTTGTAGTTCATAATGACAGGAGCAAAATATGTATACGTTTTCACCAACAGTAAGGCGGGCCATTAATAAAAGCATGGTCCAATTGTGTGGTCTAAGGACGTAAGTGCAAAAAATTATCAGAAGGATATCAAAACATGTAAAAGTGACAAATCTACACGAGTTTACAACGATATTGAAATGTTCAAGGAACATGAAACTACGGTAACTGGTGTTCACAGGCATGTAAAAATATGGAGTATTTGAATTTGTAGTGATATTGAGCAGCAGAAACAATCAAGTTAAAGGTCTTATCAATTAGTCCAAGTGTGAATAGGATCTATGAGAAGCAATATTTACCTTTAGCTGATTTAAGTTCCAAAGGTCTATAAAAGTGGATCTAGAAATAGACACAAATGGGAGATCATTAGCTTGGACGATCATCATACAAGATTCTCCAGAGCTTTCAGAAGCAGCGGTTGTTTCATTTAATAACAAAACAATTTGACCTTCCTGTTTTAGATTTTTTTTTTTTAAGGATCAAACGAGTTAGAAAACATCCCAAAAACCTCAAACTAAAAAAGCAAAGGCTGAATCATTATACAACCAAAAACACTTTGGCTTTTCCTTGTTAGATTCAAAAGAAGAGAAAGGAATGGTTTCACCTTATATAAAGATAGATCCACACAGTGATAACCATCAGGAACAGAAAGCAAAATAGCTTCCAGATTAGACTCCTCAGTACTATTGCTCAAACTATGCATGAATCCCCTTGATATGCCTATACAATTAGCAATGTCTGAGGAAGAGTCACCAGGTATTTGGAAAGAAATATAATCAATAAACCCATGTTCACGAGTCTGATAAGGTGATAAAGTTGTGGAGCCATCCTTCAACAAGAAAAGAGAAAACATCGTTGCAGAAGAATCAAACAAGATACAAACCTAAATTGCTACCAATGTTAGAAATGATAATACAAAATATGTAGCATTTACAACTTTCATTTAAATATAGAAACCAAGAAATGTATGACCATGATTAGAGATTGAAAAAGAGGGAAAGGCAGGCAGGGGACTACCTTGTAGTATGTTACCGACATAGGAAGACTTAAAGACATGGATGCTGGTGAAGATGGGAGAGCAAATAGTGGTAGCACACCCTTACAAAGTATCTTACATGAAATTGTAGTAAAAGGCATAAGGAAAGCCTCCTTGAAACTGAAATTGCAGAGCCTTTGATAAGGCACTTTTTGATTTGAAAAACAGCAGAAAAGCAATGCAAATGAAATGAATACAGAAGGCTAAATTACTACATATATTAGTGTGATTCCATTGAAAACCCATTTCCTTGGAAGCAATAATCGTTGACATTAAGTTCTGCTTCAACAATCAATCATTTATATTTACATTTACATAATTCCTATGCATATTCAGGAGTCAGCAGAACATGGTGCGTGCTTCAACCATGATAAAATCTCTATTAACAGTATTTACTGATAGCATGATGAAGGCAATAGAAAGCCGAAGTACCTAGACTCCATCTGTTGAAATTCCTCTGCTAATGTCCTTCGCAGATATCCACAATCTGAAAATCCCCCAAAATGAACCAACTCTCTAACTCTTTGCAGTGTTTCCCTGAACGATTACAAACAGCAGATTCTCTCAAGGATAAAAAATGACACTGTTGATGCACAAAATATTTACCCGCATGCATCATACATCATACATCTATTAGAGATGCATGCATAAGTTCACATTCATGCATGCCATATGCATATGCATTTAAATTAACAGTCATCGAAGAAGAGTTAATGCTCAGTCATTGAAGGGGAGTTAATGCTAAGTATGCCGCCTGATAAGTTCTAAACTAAAAAAGTTTTACATTTTTACATCCTTAATCAGTAGATTCAGCATCATTCAAATTGATTGTTTATAAGGAGTACATTTTTCTTCCTGTAGATAAAAAGCCTGCCTGCTAGCTCAAGAACATAAGTATACGTAAAATATATGTGTAGACATGCTGTCAGCCACATTTTTGTGTAAGCTTAAGTGACAAACAATATGCATAAGTCTTTGTTACATGACAGACCAAAGTAAGAAAAAAAATTAAACATACATCAATTAGTTACAGACTATTATGGTTGAAAAGATAACTCACATATCAGTTTCAATATCAACTTCAGATGGCTCCAGAAAGGGCTTAATAGGATCTTGGTCGTATAAAAACTTCAGGAATATAACAAGAAGTTCGCTGTCAAAGGCAAAATGTAAGGCTACCAAATCAAGTATAATTATAAACGGGAATGGAAAGACATCTGAAAAACATACCTATTATAGGGTAGAAGCTGATCACTTGGCTCTTGCATAAGTAGCTTTATACATTTTAGTAGCCAATTAAAGAAATTTGAAAACTGAAAGCAAAGACAGATATCAGAACTCCAACAGAACAATAACACAATTCCATGAGAAGAAAATTATTCACTTTCATTCCATACTGCAGGAAAGGATGTTAACAAAACCTCACCTGCACAGTCAAAAACTTAATTGCTTAATAATAATAATAATAATAATAATAATAATAATAGTTGAAACTGCTTTTTGTCATTTCAAGCCTATAATGTCACATCTGTTTACCAATATGTATTAGCAATCACTTCACAGAACAGTTATGATCCATATCTTGTTTTTTAAAGATTACAATTAGTGAAATTCATCATAACATCAAAGAGAATTGTGGTTGACTGTCAATCAGTGAGTGCATTGTAAATTCTTCTTGACAGAAAAGACATGCATCTCCAGCATTTCATTTGTACCAAAAAGTCTCCTACCTTTTGTCATTATTATTCCAACTGATCCAAAGGCAAGACAAACTGACAAATTAGGCAGAGAGGAGATTTGGCACTTAGAAGAGGTTCGTATATTGCATATCCAATGTTTCAAAATTGATTGAAAATTTAGGAAACAAGTCCCATATAAGCAAGATTCCACATTATTTATTCACTACATGAAGAAATTACAAAATACCGCAGCAGGATGAAATTGTTCTGATAAGAAGATTACAGTCTAAAAGACCAAATAATCTTCATTTTCTAATCTCATTATTTTGGAAACTTAGCTGTTCATTTGGAGCAGAAGACAAATTGTTTACTCAGACTACTTAAAGCAAACTAGTTTGAAGTATCTCATCAGAATTATGTTTGTGTGTGTGTGTTTCAGTGTTGTAATTTGGTTTTTTTTTTTTTTTTTTTGGGGGGGGGGGGGGAAAGGGGAATTAAGAAATAGAAATGGAGGAAGAAAGAAAGAAAGAAAATAAATTCAAATATTAAGGCTCTCAAGTTAGCACACCTGCTGTACCACAGAGGAAAGCACCCTCATAAACCGCTCAACTTGTACTAGTAACATTCCAGATTTTTCTGTTGCATTATCAATCAGAGTCTCATCCAGGCCAATACCCTTAAAACGAGTTCGCCATCTTGAAAGACCTCTTAGCTCTCCCATCCTGAATACAATAATTTCTGCAGCAGGCTGAGAAAGGGATTTTCAGCTTCAGCAGGATCACATCAGAAGTGCTCACCATATAACATTTTGTGATAAGTAGATAGAAAATTAACGCCTAAAATAGATATTCTATTTTTGAAATAGATCGTCACAATTAAACATTGTCTCAACACGATAACAGAAAGTGTCACACCACGGTTTCATAGAGGTTTATGTACATCAAGGCATTGCTATTTTAACCATATATTGTTAACTCATCCTTGTCCTAAAGAGCAACCATCTAAGCTGATAGGTTTTAACATAATATCGCTAACATTCATTAGATTAAGAAAGTAGATGGAAAACCCTAAAATTCAGCATATACCCAATTTGGCTGTAACAAACAGTTTGGGCCACAAAAATTTTAAATAGAAAATAGATTGTATAAGCAAACTGCAAATTGCGCAGCCTTAGTTGGAAGCTTAACTTTCATTTATGCACCTAAATTGTGGATCTGTCAACCTGATCCACCAAATTTCCATGAGATGTTTCATGATGTGATAACAACTAATAATAAGATTCTTCTAAATCGTGATTATTCAATGAATTGCAGAGAAAAATTCAACCATGCACCTGAAGATGATCAAGAACAATATTCTGAAGCTCTTTTCCAGCACCACAAACGACCTTTGACACACGCTTCACTCCCTATTTAGTAAGAAATTCATTGAATAAAATATGAAAACTAATTCTCTTGTGAGAAAAAAAAATCATTACATAATGCAAGTTTACCAATTCACCCAGAGAGTTAACAAGAAACTGATGAACTGGTGGACTAGTTCGAGCACCACCTAGAAGGCTCAGAAACTCCTCTTGGGGAGACGAGTCCAACCCTATATGCATGTGATAGAAATCAATAAATGGATATGCAGCAGAAATGGAATATGCAATTATTAGTACTCTAATCAAAAGTTACCATGGTCAATTATTAAACTAGATAGAGAATCAAACTTCTCATGAAAAGTGTGCATGGCATCTGACCACTGCTTGGACATTATGGATAATGATGTACGGATAACTTCAATTAAATCCTCAATGTTAGAAGCTTGTTGGGCCACTTGATGGAGTTCATTTTTCCTGCAATAAGAAAGAGATAAAAAAGGCTGAAGTAGATCATGGGAGGGATAAAGGAATAAAGCATATTCATGTTTATCAACTTCAGATAAGCAACTGGTGCATGATAAAACTACAAGCAAGACACATTGTGGAGAATTTCATTGAAAATAATTCAGATGTAGATAAATCTAACACTACAAAACTTAGTACCTACATATTTACAAACAACCTGCAGGTATTCCTAGTTTCTCCAGCAAATTTACCTCTTCCAAAAGATAGAAGTATCGAGCAGTAAGCAATGCAAGCCATGCAAACCATGTATACACAGCTTTCTCTCTGGTGATTCAACCTCATCTTGATTAAGTTCTCCGGAACACATTACTATCAAATGACAAAGGTCTTTTGACAAAGCAACCTAATAAAAACAACATAGGAACATCAGATAGCTCTACTATGTGTTTGCCTGTAAGAACTAAGCATTGAAATTAAAAGAAAAAAAAATTTTTTTTTTTTGGTTTTTGGATGGAAAATATTCTTTTAACATCAGTTAGTATGATTTATCCAACCACATGACCTTTCAACCAGAAAAGCCCTGAAAAACACCTTAGAAGCTATCCAATATTGCAAGACTAAAAATACAAATTAAAGAAAAACTTAAGCATAGTCGAGCTAAACTAGAACTCTTCTTCGGTTGACTCCTTGAACAAGGCTCTCCAGTATCGAGTAATACTCAACTTTAACAATTTCATAATTATCTCACTTGCCACATCACTTTGCAACACCTTTTTCTACGCATCATTAAGAATTAAACAGTCCAGAAATGGTGAAAACAATGTCATCTTAAATGTACTGCTACCATTGCAAATTCATTCAATCAAAGGATGAACATACCTTGGAAATGGAAGCATTAAGAAGTCTGTAAGTAGCTTCCTCATTTGCAAAGGGAGTAGGAATAGACAACTTGTGTATGTTCTGGTAAATGATTTCATGTGCAACATAATTCACATTAAAACAAAGAAAAAGAGGTGATTCTGTTCCACAGCAAATGTAAATAATTATAATGATACATAAAATAAACTAATTAAAAAAAGAAAGTAAAAAGCAAGTTAAACAAAGCATAATTAACTAGAAAAGGAAGAATATGGCTATCTCTGAACCATGAATATTACTCCAGGCAAATATCTAGTAGTTGAGGTGAGAAATACAATGCCCAGAAAATTATAAGAAGTAAAATGACAAAAGAATGTCAATTTGAAGAATCAAAGCCCTAAAAGCCGAACCATCTCTAAAAAAGCCTAGAATTATTTCCACAAGTTAGTTGTTAGGAAATAAGTCAATAATATATATCTAGTGGCCAAATGATGCAATAAGATCCAATAAGAAGAGACTGAACCATGGATCAACCAGCAAGACACATGATAATGGAATAATAGTTTCATCACTAGCATACCATTGTCCCTATTGGAAAATATTCCAAATACACAAAAGCACATTTCTACTTCTTCGAATTTACTTCCTCAGTTAATCAGTATAATCCACAAAGTTATTTTCAAGATAGATGAGTAGCTTACTATTTTCCCTATTGGAAATATTCCAAATATACTAAAGCATATGCTTCCATCTTTGTCACCGCTGCATAAAATGTTAAAACGTTGGTATGAAGAATTTGAAAGCTCTCGGAATGAATCTTCACTATCATCCATGAAGCCAGTATCTCCAGGTACCAGTCCAGGCATCCGAGGAACTCTTGGAGCAGGGGGGAAAAAACGAGAAGTGCGATCTTCATAATTTGAATTGCTAATAGAATCATCCTGAATTTCAAGGTAATTTGAGATTGATCAGGAAGTTAAATTGTCAAGCACATATTTTTATGAAACCAGAAAACAATAAACGCCTTCACAGACATCAGAGAAAAGTTTAACTTATGCAAGATATCTTAAAAAAGAATTAGTTATTTCAGACCAAAAGACAAAGTCATACTCTAGTCACTTGTCCGTCCTCCTCCCAGTTTAGGTACATGACAGCAACAGTGTGAGACTTTAAGCTTCTCAACAACTTTCCATTCTGCAAGAAATAAAAAAGTACCATGGGTTAGATGATCAGATTTTGTTGTAAAGGTATGTTGAGCTTCTCAACAGCTTTCCATTCTGCAAGAAATATAAAGCACCATGGTTTAGATTATAAAAATATAGGTATGTTTTATGATAACGTGTATCAACAATTTAACCTTAAGAAGATACACACCCACATAATAAAGGCCATGTCCTAGGTGCAAAATGCAAAAAGTGATCCCCATAGGAAAGCGCTATGGACAAATTAATAAATAAGCACAATCAAAAGGTCATAGTAAAATAATATTCCAACTTTAGTTAAGTTCACATCCTCCATCTATAAACTAGCTTCTAATAAGAAATAAATTTATTCTAGTTCCCAATGTGAGAAAACATCATTGAGGCTATGATGGGAAATCTCCAACATAACGTGTGTCAACAGGCTACAAAAACAAACGAAAAAAATATATAGAATCATAGAGTTCTCAAGCAGATTGTAAAATCAGGAATACAAAATTATATAAAACATATGTGAGAACACAATCAATAACTATGATTATCAACAATCATGTAGAGAGAAACTAAACAAGCAAGAGACATGGAGAGAGAGTTTTGAATAAGCAACTTAGTTATTATTAAACCTTAAAACTTGAACGAATAAAGAACAGGGTAACTCACTTCAACATCATGCAATGAAATCGTGCCGTCCTCGAGCCCAACCGCTATCGCTTTACCATCTGGACGCCAACATAAGGATGTGATGCACCTTCCTATAGAATCAAAAAAGTAAAAAAATTATTCCATAAACGAAGCACTTGAATCAAATGCAAAAGTTCATAGAAAAAGATAATAATAATAATAATAATAATAAAGAACATTCCATGAATTACCAGGAGAAATTGTCCAGAGTCTTTGCCAATTGAAACGATGCAGCAAAATCTTGGAGTCCTCAGTAACCATAGCCAGTAAATCTTTCTCCGGATTCCATTCCGCAAGTTTAACCTAATCAACAAAATTGATTGATAAAGGAAAGAAGAAGAAGAAGAAGAAGAAGAAGAAGTAGAAGAAGCATTATCATAGATATTTAGATACAATCGGGGAAAAAAAACAAGTAGACGAGAATGAAATTGGAAAGTGAAAGAACTAAACCTGAGAGGCAACAGGTTTGTCGAATTGAAGCTGGAAGGGAAGCACACGTGGCGTTTCATCGGTTTCCATTGCTGAAAACTCTAGAGTTCTTCTGTAACTTTTGGCTCTTAAATCTAAATAGTAGCTTGTTTCTTCAGAATCACGGAAAACAATTTGAAGAAAATTGCGCTGAAACCCTAAAAAACGGCAGAGGAAGAAGTAAGACGGCGTCGAACCGAAGGAGAAGGATAAGATAACGAAGGAGGTGAGCTGAAGAGGCCGGGAAGAGGCGCGGAACGTAAAAATGAGGGCGGGCTTTTGCTGGGATTTCAGAGCTCTCACTTGATTTATAGTGGGAGGGAAAAAAGAGAGATGCTCGTAGGAAAAGGAGCAAGTGGTTTCGGCCAGTCGGATACGGGATCAACGTTCCAACGGTTCGATTTAGAATTAAAATAAATAAATAAATAAAGCCAAAATAATAAAAATTAGAACGCCGTTGCCGGGGATCGAACCCGGGTCGCCCGCGTGACAGGCGGGAATACTTACCACTATACTACAACGACTCGTTTATTTTTGTTACTCTAAAAGTTTTTATGAGCATGTAAAAGTCCCAAACTCGCACCAATTTCATTTTTTTAACTGTCCATATTGTCTTAATTAAAAATATGATCAATCAAATTCAAATCCATATAACATTAAGTTAGAGCTCAATCAAATTTTAATTTTTTACCTCAAATTTGATATAAAATAAAAATCGAATCATTTGAATTTGTTTAATTAAATTTAATTAACATATAAAAATAAACTCAATTTTTATATTTAAAAAAAATGATTATTTATGTTTGAGTTTAAAATATTTTAATAATTATAATAATTAAAATATAAAAATTTAATTAAGCTCGTAACCTACTCAAATTAGGTATCAAATTATTTGAATTCAAACTCGATTCGATAATAATAAAATTAAATTTAAATTTTATTCAAATTAAATTCAAATAATTTACGAGTATTAATATATTAATTATACTCCTAATCTTATTCTTAATTTAATTGCCGGAGTTTTTCCGACGGTAGGACAATTTTAAATCTTTTTTCCAAACTAAGATTACTTTTAATCTTCTTTTTCATTAACAAGATCCATATCCTACGTCACTGCCACATAATTATCTAATTATCTACGTGGCAAATATTGTAAAAAAAATAAAAAGTCTTATTGTATATGTAACCCAATTTTTTGAGATCCCTCTGACCGATTACTCCACTCTACCAAATCAGACTCCCTTCACCTTTTCTGTATAAACATCCACTTCTTCTTCCCCTAACCCACCAAATTTTCACCATATATATAAATATTTTTGAGGTGATTGACTTCATTATTTGATTTGGATTTGTTAAATTGTTGATCCCAAGTTTTCAAGTTTTTAGCTTTAGCCTGATGCAAAATTGAAAAGATGATTCTGGTGGCAATTGTAGTAGAGCTAATACAGGAGTACACAGTGCTGCTGGCTAGAGTAATAAACTTCTGGAAGTAATAAGCAAGTAACAAAAGCCAAAAACCAAATAATATCAAAAGTAAAACCAATCGCTATGTCTGCTTAGAACTAATTTTATGGCCCAACAGTAGTTGCAAAAGAAGTACCACATTCAATAAACTGTAACAATCCTATTTCAGTTCTAGAAGAAGATTGGGGATAGACCTCCATCCTGCTGACAGAATTGGAGATCTGTGTGAAGGGTAGCACGAAACGGAAGGATGTTTATATTATTCCAAGATTGTTGATTATTTTATAAGAAAAAGGATAAAAAAGAGAGCTTTGATGTTGAATAAATATGGGAAACTCAAAAGTGAAGACTGGAAGAAGAAGAAAAATGGGAAAGAGTGGTCCATTGCTAAGATCCCAAATTCGAAAGAAAAGTGCTTTTTTTTCCCCAGGAGGAAGAGAAGGAATGAAGGAGAAATCTAAGAAGAGAGATGAAGTAAAGTGCTTAGTTTTCTTGGTGCTTACATGTAAAAAATACTCCATTGAAGGAAATAAGAATTAAAGAAACCCTATCAAAGAATTAAGATTTTTTAGTACCTTAGTTTGAGAAAAAACTCCTAATTGCTGTACATTTGTCACATTCTACACAAGCAACTATAACAGTTAGCTGATTAAAATCTTGGTTTTTCCCTACATCAAGTGATATATATTTCAAAATTGCTTCTAAGGCGTAAATGTCTAACAAATGCCTGCGACTCGGTCTTTAGATTGGTATAAAATGGAAGAAGTAAATTAGCATTTTTTTAAAAATCTGTGCCTACAAAAAAATGGGTGATCATTTTTTGAGTTGATTCTTGATCTCTCTCATTACCTTCAACACTTTGGCCAGTTAATCTCCCGTTTCTTTTGGTAAACATTGCTTTCTTTGTTAATTTATCATAATGATTCCTGTACCACCATTTCATAAATTCATTCATGCATCCGCTTTAACTTTATGACAATCAACATCATGAACTGGGCATTATGGTTTATTAGGGTTTGTCCGAAACACTAATGGTTAAGGTTTTTGACTATTCATGATGATAATATTGTTATTGCATTTTTACCAGAAATGGATTCCGATTTCGAGCCATGGATGCTGGAACTTATCAAGACCATTGAGGCTGAAGATAAAATAGAGTTGGAGGAGGCCCATGGTGTTGAATTTGATCCAGACTCTCTACCTCTTTCTTGCCGCATCATTACAAGCTTTTGTGACGGTCGATTAGCCCAAAAACCTTTTATTTCGTTCTTTGGAAATTATCTCATTAATTGATCTTAATATGCATGTGTTCTTATTCCCTCTTGTAAAAATATCTTGCTTAGATCTCAAAGAAGCAAGCAATCATGACAGGGAACTACAAATGAAAGAGCACATAGTTAAGATAATCGATGCAGCTTGTCGTAGGGTGACATGCAATCTGCATAAGGTTGTAGAAGAGGAAGGTTTGGATATCGAGTACTTGCTGCGTCGAGCAAGTGTTGAGTTAGCTGAAATTAGGAAAGAAAAAGAACATGTCTGCTGTGAACTTTGGATAACTCGTGTAAGTTAATTAGACTTAGCAATATCAATTAAGATTATGGTCAATTGCTCGTGTTTAGAAATAGATATGCTTTTATATTTGTCAGATGAGAAAGGAATATGATGATTTGATGGATACTTGGCAAAAGTTCGAGACGGGTTAAAGAGATTGGCATGTTGAAACAGGTGCATAAAGAGCTGGTTTCTTATTTGCAGGATGAAAAAGCAGTTGAGGAGGTGGAAGCGCCCACTATGATGTTTCAGCAGTTCAATGATCTTAAAGCCAAGATTGAACTCTCAATTGACGAAGAGTTGAAGCAGATTTTAACTGTTGGAGAAAGAGCCATTGTGGAGGTTTATCCACTCATAGCTTATACTCTTCTCTGGACTTCAATTGTTGTTTTTATATTATCTAACGAGGGTACATTGATTTCTTCATTTGTGGCTATGTAGGCAGCAAAAAGAATTCTAAGCATCCCAGCTCTATTACCGTCTAAATTTTTTAAGCAAACTATCAGGACCTTGAAACAAGATTGGCTAAGAGATTATTTGGTCAAGAACATGCCATTCGTGCAATAACTAGTGCATTGTTAGGGCCTCATTCTGGAAAGGTTCCTATTAGATCGTTTCTCTTCATTTGCGGCTCCGAATCTGGTGGTGAAGAACTTACTAAAGCTCTTGCTGAGCAACTTTTTTATGATGAAGAACAGATGATTGAATTCGACCTGGAAAAGAATACAAAGGATGATTCCGTTATGGACCTTAATGTTAGGCAAATCGAACTCGAATTGTCAGAATATGTAGAGTATGATTCTGTCTTGTAAGTTGCGCCTCTATTTTACAATTTATTTTAGTATTTGTTTACAATATCGCTTTCCATGTTTCAGATTGAACAAAGATAAAAAGTTTGATTTTAGGGGGGAGCTCATTGATGCTGTGAAGAAAATGCCTAGCACTATTATTTTGCTTCGCAAAATAGATAAGGCTCGTGCTTCTGTTATTAACTTTCTACTCGAAATTTTAAGAAATGGGAAAATAGAGGATGAGAAAGGGAAAATGGTTGATTTTAGTAAAACATTGATTATTATGGCATCAAATGTGTTGTATGACAGTGTCAATTTGACAAGGCATTGGAATTGCAATTGTGCTTTGATGCCCGGAAAGTTATTTCTCAAAGAGAAAATGGAAGATCATGATTGCCAATATTTGTCTCTTTTGAAACTTGTATGGGATATTGATCAAATCCTTTTTGTGGTCCAAAATCAAGTTTCCTAAGGTATTCTATTTGATGTACCTTTTCCCTATTTCTTTGACAGGCAAAACAACATTTTAAACCTGAATTGCTGGATATCATTGACAATATGATTGTCTTTTGACAACTAATACATTCGGAATTTAGAGCTTTTTTGAGGCTCCGAATAAGAAAATTGGCGAACTCTATTGGAGGAGGAAGAATTATCGTATATCCATCAGAAGCTGCTTTGAATATCATTGCATCTGCAATCGAATCAGGGGATGTGAGTTTTTCATTCCCTACCAGGAAATGAACCTTTGGACATGCTTGAAGATTCATTGACAATTGCATTTTCATATTAGTACACTTTTTATTTGTAAAGTTCCATCCTTATTTCCTCATTCTTAATCTCTTTTATATGTTGTTATGGTGCTAGGAATGTACAAAGACCTATCTTGAGCAAAATGTTGTCCCCAAGCTGTTGGAGATTTGCAGTCGGTCTAGAAGAGTAAGATCCATCGTATATATGGATACCCTGGTGGGAATCAATGATTTATCTCATAGAGTGGAAATGGGTGGATCTCTCGCTGGAGATCAAGAAATTGGGCAGTTCCTAGCGTATCTATGCGAGTTTTGGAATATGTACGACAGAGATATATTGTGGTTACGTGACATTAATGGTTTGAGAAAAACTCTCCAATTCATAGATCGAACCAATAAAAATGGTGACCCTCAGTCTCTTGAACCTTTGGTTTATAAAATAAGAAAGCTACTTGCAAGTGAAAATAGCGTCAACTCTATGCCTATGAATCTCCAAATGGTAAAATACTTTCTTCTTGCTTGCGAAATTTTCAAATAATATAATTAATTATTGTTCCAAAATGACATTTAATCTTTTTCATGTTGATTTTTAAGATGGGATTCTCCAGTTCTGGCAGTCTTGGTCGTAGTGATCAGTTCAAGAAAAGGGCTAATGAGATGGAGGATCTTCAAGCAAAGTTGTGCACTGGATTGGTTGCCAAGCATTATGTATTTGGTGTTGTAGCGAAAGCTATATTGAGCTGCATTAAGCCTAAGGTCATGGCAAACAATTCCCATCCCATGACAGCTCTGTTGTTGGGCCTGGCAAGTAATGGTAAGGCAAATCTTCGAAGGGATTTGACAAAGCTTCTTGATGATGAGAACAATGAGACGGAAAAGATGCTGGTTCAAATAAACTTGTCTCAATGCTCTAACTATGATGAGTTTTTCAAGCTCATGTACGAGTTCTTTACTCATTGTTCATGGCACCCATGACAAATTTTTTCTTTATAATCTTTGAACTTGATAGCTTTTTCTTTAATGTACAGTTACGACGGTAACAATCAGCATAGTTTCGGTTATCCAAAGACTGCTGGGATGAGGCCAGGCAGTGTTCTCTTAATTGATCAAGTTGAGAAGGCGCCAATGTCTGTTTTTAGTGGGCTAATTTTTCTACTTGACTATCGTATCCGGACTGATCTCCATCGAGCATGCACAATAGATCTCAGTGATACTGTTATTATTATAGTTTCAGATCTGGGAAACAGGGACTTCATTGTTGAAATGTTTGAAGACGCAGCTGAGAGAGAGAGAAAGTTGAATGCTCTTATGGAAGATCTTAATATAAACCGTAATGCCAACGACCTGATAGCAGTGTTTCAGACTATTCAAAACAGGTAACCTAATTCAATGTCTTTCAGGATGTGCTTTACTTATCAAAAACCATGCTGGTTTGCCTTCTTTCACTTGCTGGTATTTTTGGTTTATCAGCCGGATTGGAGCCGTTTCAGGTTTGAATTGCTGAATCGGATCGATGAGGTTGTGTTTTTCAACCCTTGTGTTGGTAACCAAATGACAAGTTTTGCAAGGTTGTCAATGAAAGATGGGCCACATCTGAAAAATGGTTCACCACAGGATGGATTGAGCAATGCTTTCAGGGGCCTGTTTGATGAATCCAATTTTAAAGTCCCTAATCCTTTAACTAAACGCTCCAATATAAAAATTTAGGCAGTTGTGTCATTTCCTGGCTGACATTTGAAATGTCTCTATTTCAGCGAGAGCCCCTTTCTATAGTCAGCGTGGCTCGCTCAGTGGAGCTTCTCTCAACAGGGCTTCTTACCAAAGACTAGCAGATATGAAAAGCCGAATGTCATTCTGTGGAGTTTTGCTTTTGCTTTCAATACTTGACAATAATATTGTTAATTCAAATGTAGGTGACTTTGGCACTGCATCCAATCATGGAAACTTCCCCATGTTTGACACTTTACAATGCCATTGTGTGACTATAACACATCGTATCACTTTTAGCATGGTATCATTGGGTAATGGAAATTGGGTTGCTTAAAATTTTGAGTAATATATCCCGATGAACACTTCATAGCATAATTCATGTTGTAAGGAAATGAAACATTCCTAATTTCTAACCAAGCAAGCAAGTCATTACTGTACTCTGCTTATTTACCCAAATTAAATCTAACAATTTTCAACATGATATTAAAACAATATAAATTAAATACATAAAAATAATATAATTTAAAATTTTAATAAAAATTATAAATAAATTTTAATAAAATAAATACGATATAAATCTAACCCAAACTTTTAGCTTTGAAGCTCGTGTATATCACTTTTTCTTCGTTCACATAATCGTGGGGAAAACAACAAACTAAAAAGAAGGGTAAAAAGAAATGTGGATTGACGTGTTTTGACCATCCAAATGGTTGGGGCCATCGTGTAGAACCTGCAACAGCCGTCAGCCTCCAAATTAGAATCATTGGTCAGCCAAACCATTGGCTGCTGTTAACTCTTTTCACCCAAACCTCATATCCAACCTACACGTGTCCCATCGAACACCACGAAGAAACTCGAATGAGACAAAGAAGCAGACCAACAAAGCCGACTTAGACCGACCATATCTCCACGTCATCTCCAGCAGCACCCAAGTTGCTTCCTACCTCACCTAATTTCTCACCACGTGCCCCTCCCCAACGGCTAGTTTCGAACTTAACCGCCAAGCACTATATTAAATTCCATCCCAACATACACGAGGGAAAAAAAAAAAAACTAAAAAGAAAAGAGAAAGACCAAAGCTTTATCCTTTTTTATAGGATTCTCCAGTAATTTCTAGTAGTAAAAAAGAAAAGGCGAAATATTTGTAGATATTTTTAATTCTTTTAACCTTTAAGAAAAAAGAAAATAATCTCGTTTTTACCGGTTTATAAGGAGAAGTTTGCATTTTGAAAGCAACTCTGTTTGTAAAAGGCAGTTCTTTGTTTCCTTTTCTCACAGCTACAAGTCCTCGTCTCTCAAATTTAGGGTTTTATCTTATCTCTATAACTAAACAAAGAAACCCCAGATTCAGTTTCAGTTTGCTGTGGCTTTTCTGCTTCTCTAAAGACCCTTTTTTTGGTTTGAGATCTAAGGTATTTTCAGAAACTGTGTTTAGATTCTCCTCTGTAGGTTCCACTTTCTGTGTGAAAATCTAATCTTTGAGTTTCTTTTAGTGGGGGTTTGGTTCAGATTGTTAAAAGAGTTTAACACTTTTTTGGCCATTTGGAGTTTGTTATGGAAATGGGTTTGGGCAAAGTTTGCCGTGCTTCTTCACTGACATTGAAGCATGGTGTTGTGAATGAGGAAGAAGAGTTAGGGTTAGGGTTCGTTAGATACACTCGGGGTTTGGGAAGGAAAAGGGTTGGAATATCAAATGAGATGGAGGAATCTTTGCCTCTCGAATCTGCAACCAAATTTCCATTATTGAAAAGGCAACGCAGTGAGAGGATCATGATGATGATGATGATGATGATTGATGATTACCATGAAAAATCTACTCTTGAATCACTTCCTCAAGATGTTCTTGTAAGTACTCAGGATCCCAAAGCTTCATTTCTTTGATTGGTTTCCATTTTTGGTTTTTGGGATTGTCATTGATGGATGGATTTATTTTTTATTTTTGCAGATTAGGATAATTTGTGGTGTGGATCATGAAGATTTAAAGCAACTTTTTAATGTTTCTAAATCAATCAGAGAAGCTGTGAGTATAATTCAGTTTAACTGGTTTGTAAATTGTTCATTCCTTGCTTAACTATTCAGTATGATTTTGACTATGATTGTTCTTTTCTTCTCAGACTGTAATTGCGAAGCAGTTGCATTTTGCTTATAGCACACCAACAAAGACCAAGGCTTTTCGAACTTCCACTGATTTCCAGGAATCGAGTGATTTAGACGAGATTGAAGCACCGAATGCACCAAGGCAATGGCGGTCTCACAGGTCAATCAACAGGAAGAAACTGGCAGATATTTCAGTGGCATTGTTTGCTTGACACGAAAAAGATTAATTTTTGTAAATAGCTTCTTGTTGTTGTAGATTTGAAAGGGGTTATCAGTGGATCTGCTTGTCGGATCTTTGTACATGGGTGAGATTCTTGACAAGCCATTTCTTCAAATGTTTCGTTGAAGATTAGGTTTTTTGGCTTGTTTGTTTCTTTGTGTACATGACAAAGTAAGGGAGATTACAGATTCGAATGTATTTGTTTGGAGGGATATCTAGACCCTTCTGATGTGGTAAAGTTGTGATTCGAGATTGTACAGTTGATTCTGCATGATCTTTTATGCTTAATAAGATAAGAATTGTTGAACTCTAGTAATTTTTGTTTCGTTTGCTAAAGTTCCGTTTAATGACCTGGCTTTAATTTTATGAGGAAAATGAGGGAAAATGTCTTCCAAAAGCTACTTTCATGTTACCAAACGGATCCTAGATTTTGTTAGTTATGTTTGGATGTTGAAGCTCTAAAAATCAATGATCTTACCAAGCTCTGTTTTTGCTTGGTGGTTAGTTGCTTTTGCAAATTGCAAAGGATGGTGGATTCTCGAAGCTAAATCAGAAAGTGGATAAAGTTTCAAAATTTGCAGATTCCATATTTCCCCTGCTTCATTGGATTTACTACATTTTTTTGCTGCTGAATCTTGGTGTGTTTTACAAGCTGAACAATTTTGGCTGCATGATCTGTTGTCTCATGGTGTTTGCTTGAAATGCAATTTAAGACCCTTCTGTTTGCAGATTGGAAGGTGTGTGTCCTTAGGCTTTGAAAAGTTAATTTTAAGGTCTTACCCTTTGGGCCATTAGTTCAGTGTTATTGGGGTCAAATTTATGGCTGAAAATCTCGAGTTCGAACCTCAATCATAGTCCAAAATAAAAAAGAAAAGAAAAACGTGTTATTCTTTATAGAAACTTCTGGCATTCGACTGTACATCATGGTTAGCCTCATTTATTTAGGGTATTTTAGGAGTACATATTCATTGCAGGAGAGATTCAATAACTCGGGGAAAAGTTTCTCAAATCCATTATAACTCTATCTTGTCGTGACAAGAGTTGCAATTTATGAACAGACCATAGATGTAGGTGTTGATTAATGAATGGGAAACATATTCCAAATCTTCTGCCTCCAGGGATTAAGACCTCTTGAAGAGTTGGAAATTGGTAAGAAAGAAAATAAAGAGGCAAGATAGAACATGACACCAAGGATTTTATTTCGTGAGAGTTATAAGAAAATCTTGAAGTGTTTCAATTATAACTAGAAATTCGTTCAGCAAAGATAATTAATTTTTGTCCTGGCCTGTGCATTTGTTCTTTATTCCCTTACAACCATGACAAGGAACGGTTGCGGAAGGATCATATTTAGTTAGGGTGCTCGACGCATTATGATAAGACTTACTCAATCTTACCCAATTTAGCAATCAAAAAGCCTTACCTTAAGTTTAGTATTGAAAAAAAAATTCAAAATATTTGAAAGATATTAAAATCATGTTAACCACGTGTAAATAAACATACCCACAATGAGATTCTTAACTAAATTTTCCTCCCGAAATCAGTAGTCATTTTATCAACTTCCACCTTAATTTTCTAGAGTTCTCATAAGGTCAACAAACATCAAAATATAATGCAATTTCAACTACAACTTATTAGCATCCACTCAAAACCAACGAAGAAAACCAGGATATCACTCTGCAGCAAGCTAATTAGCAGCATTGTCATCATCATCAGCATCTGCTGGCTCATCAGGGACACCGGCATCTGCTGGCTCATCAGGGGCACCGGCATCTGCTGGCACATCAAGGGCAGCTTCCAGAGCAGGTTCTGGGACTGCATGTAGCACGTCAAGAAATCCTAATGCAACATTTTCCAGATTTGGGAGTCGGGTATGAATCCTTAGTGAAGCTTCTTCCTGAGCTACAGGCTCAGGGGCAGCAGGCGCTGGAACGACAAGAAAATGCTCCTGTTGCAGTATAGCTCGGCAAAGAGGACACTGGGCTAGTTGTACAAACCAATTAGCTAGTGTTGAAGGTCTATAACTAGAGACATTAGCACTACCCAAGTGTTTCGCAATACATTGACCATGGAATATGTGACCACATTTCAGCAACACAGCTGATCCTACTTTGGTTTTAAAACGAAGAAAACAAATACGACACTGAACTTTATCTCGAACCATTTCTTTTAATTTCTTCCTAAACCGTTCAATGTCATGTTCCCTTTCATTTTCACTCCGAGGAGGCAACCAAGGGGAAGACATCGTAAAAGTGACCTGAAAGTCATAGGAACATAAGAAAGATGGGTTAAACCTAGCTCTTTAGGTATACTGATACACAAAAACTAATTTTAACAGCGCGACAACATTCATATAAAATCATGAATTAAAAAAGTAACATAAAAATTTACTTACCTGCTGCAGCAAGAAGAGCAAAAACAATGGCAATGGAGAAGAGTCTGCGCAGCCGTCTGAGAAGAAGAAAAACCTACCAGAGGCTTCTTTTATAACCGTTTTGGGTCTCCCCAGCTGTAGGGAGAGAGCCAACAGCAGGGCCTCTTCCATAAGGCCACGCGGCACTGGTTTAGCTATGGCCGTACGGTCGTACTGGACACCGTGTATATTCCCTGTATTCGTAACCGGTTTTAAAATACAGCCGTGCTAGACCGGAAAAACCCAGATTAGCTAACAACGTAAATAAAGCTTAAACAAAATAATTACAACTGTCATTTTTGAATAACATGACAAAGAATTTATAATGATGTTTTTTGAAACGTAAATGCTAACAGTCTCTATTTATAGAAGGTGTTCGTGGGTTGGATTTTTTTTTAACATTCCATTTGATAAAAAAAATTTTAAATGTAATTTAATGATTAGTTAAATTAGGAAATAATAAGCATTATTTTAAATTTAATCATTAGATTAAAATTTTAATTAAAACTGAAAAACAATTATAAAGTGGGTCAATTTGATCGTCCATGGGAACATTAAATTAAACTTATAAATTTGTTCCGATTTCAATTTTAAGAATCAAAATTTTCTCAATTATTGTGCATTTGTCACATTCGTCATGACAAACAATGGTACAGCAAGATGTTGATTTCCCTACATCATCAAGTAATTATATATATGTATATTAGAGTTGCTATTAGGAAAATGCTAGTCTCACTCACTCTCCCTCCCACCCGATATAACATGCTATTTACTTGGTAACTCATCATGCTTCTAAGGCATGTCACTTCCCCAATATGCTCATTTTCATTGGTTGAGAGAATTTACATCTTTATCAGTCCTTTAGGAATGATTAAAGAAGAAACCTACCTACTTGGTTTCCAATAGCTATATGCCTGTAGACATGGTGTATGCAGTTGGGGAAGTCTTAATGTTTTGAGCACTATTGAATCAATCTTGTGGCTTTGTTCAACCTCGTATTTCTAATTTCTTACATATTTCATGTGCAGGAACTTCACTGAGCTTGACATACAGGAGAATGGCATTGATGATAAAGAAGGCAGTTGGTTGAGCTGCTTCCCGGAATGCTTCACATCATTGGAAGTACTAAACTTTGCCAACTTGACTAGTGATATTAATTTCGATGCACTTGAAAGGATTGTATGTAGGTGCAGGTCAATGAGGGTTTTAAAGTTGAACAGGAGCATATCCTTGGAACAATTACAAAGACTTCTTGTTAATGCTCCCCAATTAGCTGAGCTTGGTACGGGCTCATTCTCGCAAGAACTTACTTTCCGCCAATATGAAGAGCTTGAAAGAACATTAAGTACTTGCCGGAATATACATACACTATCTGGTTTGTGGGAGGCCAAGGTCATGTATCTCCCTGCCTTATACCCTGTGTGCACGGATCTGACATTCTTGAACTTGAGCTATGCTGCTTTGCAAAGGGGTGAACTCACTAAGCTTCTTGCTCACTGCCCACGACTTAGACGCTTCTGGGTAAGAACCAGACTCCTTTGTTTCGAGTCTTTGCATCTGTCTCATTTTTTAGAAAATAATTTATTGATGGCTCCATGCTATATCGCATATGACTTTGTCATGAGATACCACCGATGGTCATTTGTAGAAATAATCTTCTCCAATCAGGTGAGGCAAGTTTGTACATTTTTGTGTTGCCCTGTACAAAAACTTATAAATGATATAAACAAAATTCCAATTGGAAATTTAGCTTGGAGAAAGTCAGTTAACAGTTCACTTGAATTCGTGGGTTTATAATTCAAGGTAGAAATTGCTGTATTACATTACATATTATAGGGAATGAGTGATTGTCAACCAGTGTGAAGATTTTATTAGGCAAAAAGTGGATGCACAACTGCGGATAGAGTACTGAAGGATTTCTCATTACATTCAGTACATTTTTTCTTCTTCCTGAAGAATTGCCTTGCATTATTAACATTCATGATCCTGTAGCTTGCTCCACATCGTGAATAACTTGCAAATTAAAATTTTCTTGCCCAAGAAGAGATGGTTGTTCAAGCAACTAACCATCCATGCTTCCTGCTCATCCGAAGGGTGTATTGATCATTGATAACCTCCACACTAGTCTAATAACCATAAATTGTGGAGGGTTTAACTCCTTAAAATTTTCTTTTGTTATAGGTCTTGGACACAGTAGAAGACAAAGGGCTGGAGGCCATTGGATTGAACTGCCCTTTGCTTGAGGAACTACGAGTTTTCCCTGATGATCCCTTTGATGAGGAAATCATCCATGGAGTCACTGAAGCTGGGTTTCTTGCTGTGTCTTATGGTTGCCCCAGACTGCACTATGTCCTTTATTTTTGTCGGCAGATGACTAATGCTGTGGTAGCAACCATTGTACAGAACTGCCCTGATTTGACACATTTCCGTTTATGCATAATGAACCCAGGTCAACCAGATTATCTCACAAATGAACCCATGGATGAAGCTTTTGGTGCTGTGGTTAAGACATGCACTAAACTTCTAAGGCTTTCGGTTTCTGGTCTCTTAACTGACCTGACATTTGACTATGTTGGTAGGTATGCTAAGAACTTGGAGACCCTTTCAGTTGCTTTTGCAGGGAGCAGTGACTGGGGGATGCAGTGTGTTCTGGGAGGTTGTCCAAAACTAAGGAAACTTGAGATAAGAGACTGCCCATTCGGAAATGCTGCACTGCTGTCAGGTTTCGAGAAGTACGAGTCCATGAGGTCACTTTGGATGTCAGCCTGCAATGTGACAATGAATGGTTGTAGGCTATTGGCAAGGAAGAACCCTAGGTTGAATGTTGAGGTAATGAAGGAGGATGGAAGTGATTATGCTCAAGCTGATAAAGTCTATGTTTATCGTTCGGTTGCTGGTCCAAGGAGGGATGCCCCACCATCTGTGCTTACTTTCTGAAATGCTTGTACTTTCTCTCTCTCTCTCTCTCTCACACACACACACAAACACTCACACAGCAGCCTCAAAAATTATAGGCCAAGGATAACACTGATGGTGCTGTATTGCAAAGGTTGTATGTTCCCTATTTGAAACGGGATTGGAGTTTTTCTACTGGTTCAGTAAAAGGGCCCTCTTGCAAAGTTTGCCTTTTTATGATGCAAAGATGTGGCTTCGATGAATATACTATTCTTGAAGATCCCATGTCTTAGTGATAAGTGATCTTCAAACTATTTTACTATCATATTTTTGAAGTTGTCTCAAGTCAAGAGTTATGGCTGAGTATTTTTTCCTGATGGAGCTGTGTATATCTTTTTTCATTACTATTTTGTTTTTGTTTTACTTACCTGTTTCTAATGATAAAGTTTGTTTATTTTCAGCTTGAAAAGTTTTCAATGAAGACAACATACCCTCCTGCAGGCGTAGACTTGGGTTGATATTCATTCATACAATTGAGCAATAGTGTCAAACAATAAATGAGGATCTGCAGAAGTTGAAACTAATTCTTCAACCTTGTTTCTTTCTTTATAAGGCACCTGGCAAACAGAAAAGCATTAAAGATAGAAGAGCAGTCTAAGCAATTAAAGCCTCAAAGGTTGGGAATTGGGGACAAGTTTGCTTCATCTTCATGATTTTCTTCATGTATTTGATACCCCATTCAAAGTTACAGTAATTTCTAGCTTTGAGCCGTCACCTTTTTTTATAAAGCGTGGTATATCAGTTGATTCAGTGGCTTCAAATTCAGATATCAAGAGCCTTTGCAGCTAAATGAAGTGCATCTTGTTGCATTGCCTGAAGCTTGTCGGTCTCCCCTACAATTGCTTTGCCTTCTAACATCGCTGAATAGAGCTTTGTTATTGATGGAGCATGAAGAGAAGGCAGTGGAGACTGAAGGGTGAAGGCTATATGATGGAAGGCTCATATAGAAAAATGAACCAGGAAGAGGATGCTGCTGGAGTTTTCTGCGAGGGCAAAGTTTGAACCATGGTGTCTGGTCAACAACTAGTGCAATGGATTAAAGCAGGTTGGTTGCGTGATACAATGGAGCTTCTTGGACCCATATGATCAGAGCTGGTTTACGCACACGGTTCTTTGAGCACAATGTGTCAAAGGAGTTAAAACTAAATTTGGGTCAACATTGTATTGGGGATGCAGGAGTTTGTGGTAGTATGAATTTTTTTTTTTGTTCATTTAATTTTCCAGATAATACTTTTTTATTTGAAGAAGACTAAGTTTGCTTATGGTTCTCTACTACTTTTCTTATTGACCCCTACCCACTTCCTATAAATTTGGGGTCTTTGGTGTATTATTGCACGATCATTTTCCTCTGAAAAAAAAAAAAAAAAAAGACAGGGTCTCACTTTTCAAAGATGCTTTGCTTCCAATCTCTCTGTGTCCAACTTTTTAGGTTAGCTTCCTGGTGGTGTTTTCAGCAAGGGTTAAAGGGGTGTAAAATGCTTTGTTCTTCAATCTGTGATTTACAAACTGAAGTAAAACAATATGAATTCTCAAACTGAGTAACGTAGCTGGGCTGAATTTGACAGTCCATCAAAAAGTTACGGATAAAGAAAAGGTTCACACTTCACAATCACATGCCCAAAATCACATCTGAAAGGCACTGGGGAATCAATAATGTGAATTACATTGTTCTTAGATATTATTCCAAGCAGAGCATCCATATGAACCACGAATGAAGCAATTATCCCCCTTTCGCAGTTTTTGAGTTACTTTTACGATTTCACTTCTAGAAAAACCGCCCCACTTTTTACCATTCATCATTTCAGCTCAGGCACCGTCCAATTGGTGGGCTTAAAAATGGTCCCCATTCACCACACTGAGCACCTGATTTCAACGGGATCTGCCCAATATCCAAGTTTCCGAATGGTCCACTAAAAGATCTCGAGGCCTCACTTATATATTCTGAAATACTGGTGAAAGAAATCATGTTCCCAGCAAGATTTTTCTTTACTACTACCATATAAGCTGACAACTAGTCTATGGACCCCTCGACCGGACTTGCCATATAACTTGAGTTTTAGGTTTTGGTGAAATGAAAGGTCTGTTTAGGTTTTTGTCCCTCAGATTTTGAGCCTGTCTTGTGCTTCAATCCAATAACACAATGACACAAGCTTAGTTTAAGTTTCTTTCTGGTATGCTACCTCTTTCAAAATTGAAGCAATCATGATAACCCTATTGCTATTGGATCTATCTTTGGAGGCCCCATGCGTGATATTTTGATTATCTCGTCGTTTTCTTGCCCTGGAAGTTACAAAAACTAAGCTATTCCAAGATAAACGGCAAAAAGACAAGCTCACGAGCTAGCTAATTTAAAATTTGGTGTTTTGACAGCATGCTAATTGGATTGCACTTGGGAAAACAAAAGAAAGAAGCAAAGGATCCTAGTCAAGTACTCATGTTTTGCATGCCAGGATCGATGCAAGCAAAGTAACAATATATTGGGATAGTTGGAAGGGCTTAGCCGCCATGATTTCTGGGCTTAAGCACATGTTTTGATGTTTTATTGCCATTGACTGGTCGCAATTCATGATCTCCTGGCCATATGCTCAGATAGCTTGAAAGCCAAACCAAATTAGCTTTGCACCGATGGCTCCACAACCTGTAGCGGTCTTTATTGTGTTTGGTCAAATAGTAAGCCCCCCCCCCCCCCCCCGGCACCCCCAGCGCCAGGATAGAATTAGTATTAAATTATTGTGGGAGTGTCTTTATCAACACTAAAACAAAAATAACCAATCCCCTGTTAGTGAATCACATGTGATTAAGGTGTGATTAACATGTGAGCAACACTCAACAAGCTTAACTTGGTGATGAATTTCTGTGTAAGTGCATTCCCCTTCTGATACTCTCAAGGATTAATCCAAAAACATCTGTAATCATTCAATGGTTGGAATGATTGTGAACAATGTAATTGGGAGATTCCTAGTAGGTAATGGTCGGAGACACCAGATCCAAATGTCTCCATCAACCAAATTTCAATTTGCTTTTTCTCCCGTATTCTGTTTTTTTATCCTATTTTAGATCATTATTCGATCATTTTTTTGTGTTTTGATTTGGAGTAGATGAACATCAAATATTTGTTATCTGTACCTTTCTCTTTGAAGCAAAGGCATTCTGTAATTGTGCATCTGTTTGGAATTTCCCTTCTGCCCTACTCAAAGGTGGGCTACAACATCACTTTCTTGCTTTTGCACATAATGTATTGTGCCTATTTAACGCCTCCTATGGCATTAAACAACAAACAGTGTAGAGTATTAGTGCTTTTATGCACTGTAGCTCCATAGCATCCCCATATCGAACAATGGAATTAAAAAATAAAAAAAGCAATTTACAACTAACACGCAGTTAGAAACTAGTGAACAAAAATGCCCATGATTACATAGCATATATATATATATATATATATATCCATAATCTGATGACAGAAAAGGGAAAGCCTCTGAAAACTAGTTTGAAACTAAGATGTAAGAAAAGCTGAAGATACTCTATGGCAATTGAATTGCTCATTGGATCTCGTATGATAATAATGAGCAAAAAGAAAAAAAAAAAAAAAAAAAGACCCCACCAATATAAGGCTGGTGATAGGTAAGTCCTCCACGGATTTGACAAAAATGCGGCCCCAAGGGATCGATTGAGGCCATGTGCATAGCCAATTGCGCTGTTTAAGAAGATGAAGATCGATTGGATGGAACATTCAGGTTGTGATGGAGTTCCTTCTGCCTGCCAGCACCATGGCCTACAAACATAAAAGTTGAATGGAGAAATAGAAACCCAAAAGTAATACTGCAATCGCCGACGCCCACCACTTGTTAAACTGAAACGTTTAAAGTTAAATTTCATAAATCAAATCGAATCAATCCTTGAAACACTTGGTAGTAAGACCTTAGTTCTTGTGACAAGCTTTCATAAAATATTGATCCGTGACTCGCAGAATAATGGAGGGCATTTTGTCTCCTAATACGATAGTCCTGGCATGGAATTAGACATCTAATCATATCATGATTCATGGGTCATTCATTTTTTTTAACATTTCAATTGTCTTCTTCCGAGGGTTTTCCTTTGTTTATGATACTCTTGGTTCCTCATTATTATAAAGCACAGATATCATAAATTCTTATCCTCTAAAAAAACTTTATTAATTTTAATGAATGGTCAATTCCCTTTACGTTCTCTTTTTGCTTTGACAACAACATAGCTTTCGGTTTTTTCTTCATCTTCTTTCACAATCTAAAGTCTAAATCTCACCAAGCAAAAAAAAAAAGGTTATGTATTAGGTTCATCTCCACTTCCTGTTGGAAAGGTGACTGCTAGCTCAAGGCATCCAACAAAGGGCTTCACATGGCTTTGAAGTGGTGGGGGCTCTTTCATTTTTTTTTTCCATGCTGAGAAAATTGAAAGCTACTTTTTCTCTTTTTATTTTTTTTTCCGTAATGGCTTTGTTCTTCTCTCAAAGCCTTAATCCTGCTGCTTTTTCTTCATTTTGGTTCTTCCTAACATATCTTACTTTGCAACTTATAGTGGGTTCAAATGAGTGATTTTCAATTTTCTGTACATGGAATTAGGTTTGATTTTTGATGGCTGCATGCAAATTGGAAAAGCTTTACCAGATCACCTTAACTCTTACTTTTATTCATACACTAACTGATACTTTTCAACATGCTTTAGGCAGAAATCACTATATCATATAAATATGATGCATTAAATATTGCTTTTCCCACACTTTCTCATTTTCTTAGTTTCAGCTATCAATTTTTTTAAATATTTTATGTGGTTTTGCTGGGTCAAGCTTTTACTTAGTTCAGGGTTGGATTGTGGCTTCCAATTAATGAGTTGCAAAATTGAAGTTCTAAGTGGTTTCTTCCTTACAGAAGTAAAGTTGACAATGTTGCCAACCTTTTTAAAAAATTGTAGTAAGAAACAATCTCCTAATCTCGTGAATTAAAAGCATATGTCTATAATAATAATACTCTTTTCTTAAATTAATTAAGTTGGACCCTTTAAAAAAATTATAAATATTATGATTTGAAGTACAAATTTTAAAAATTATTATATAAATCAATTAAATTAAAATCACGTTAGAGTTTTATCTTGTAAGCAAATTAAATACATAATTTTTAGGTTGGTTTTAGCTGTTTTTAAGAACAATAATTAATATGGTTAATTCCTGGACTATCCTATTTATTATGATGGTAGGATCACAAATATTTTAGGACGGCGTAATCACATCTAATCTAATATATATATTATATTACAACATATAAGATTATATGATTAAAATTACTTATATAGATGTCTAAGTAGATAATCTCTTTTAATGACACATAAGATAATATTTATATTATTTTATTTCAAAATAAATTTTTTTAATAAATTATTTAAATTGAATATTTTGAATAATTATTTAAATTGAAATCAATATTTGTCTGAGATTAAAATTTTGTATAAAATTTGAATTCAAATATATTAAATCATAATTTATCTTTTCTTTTTAAATTCAATGGCAGTTCCAAATATATATACTTAATAAAATTTTATTTTCTATCAAATAATTCTATTTAATAAATTATTTATATTTAATATTTTTAGATAATTATTTAAATTCAAATTAAAATCTATCAAAAATTAAAAATTATTTAATAAATTATTTAAATTTAATACTTTTAGATAAGTTAATGAATTATTGACTAGAAAGCATATATTTTAAAAATAATAAAAGCTTACATTTTTATATGAAAATATGAGACATTTGAATGTTGATAAAAAAGTTAGATAAAAATATGATTTTGCTTTGAAAACAAATATAATGTTTTATTTATGTTCTAATTCAAATATTTTAATATTATATATTTAGTTAATTTATTTGTTTCTCTTTAGTCCATAACCTTTTTTAATTTTACTTAGATTGATTATAATTAACTTTTTGTATTGCATATTTTTTTTGTTTTATTCATTTCTTCAATGTTTTTATTTTTTGTTAATTTATTGACATATTTTCTTTTGTTATTGTATATATTTAATCTTGATAAATTAATATGTAAATTTATATTCTTTATTTTCTTTTGTTGTACTTTTTATTATTGAATTTATTTGTCTACAATGGATAATTTGAGAAGAATGATGATCACTATCATATCTAACTCACAATAAATATTATCAATTATGTTAAAAATCATTAATAATAAAAAATTTTTCAAATATTTTTTTTAAGTATAACATAAAAAATTATTGTTTCCCTTTTATCTAAAAAATAGCTTTATTTTGTTGACATATATAAAAATAATTGTTAAATCAATATATTTATCTAATAATTACTTGAAGTATATAAAAAATAAGAACTAATAAAAAGCAAATGATTATAACAAAATTAATAATTGTGATTTATTGTTCAATTAAATATATATATATATATACATATTATATATATAATTTTTAGTATTTAGCAAATAAATTGAAGAAAAAATTTTTAATAAAATTTTTTTTTATAAATTTTGAAAATTTATAAAAATTTAATTTTTTTTAGATGAACAATACCATTTATAATATATTATGTATAAATTATTATTTAATTGTAACTTAGTATTTATAAATATATAATTATATATTAAATAATTAATTAAAAAATAAATTTAAATTGATAAAAAATTTAATTAAAAATCTCATACATTATACGAGTTAAAAAAGTTAATTGAGTATGAAAATAACATCCTTCTTCTTAAATCTTATTTATACCAAAGACTAATGACCTTACGTGTTGGAAACAAACATATATTTTTTATGAAATTAAAGTTCTATTAAAGTCAGAATTTACCCAATTGTCTTTTTTTTTTTTAAGTCATCCTTTTAAATTATTAGTTAAAGTCTTTAGCTCTTTATTTATTGATTAAAAAATTTTAAAAATATATAAAATAAAAATTCGAATTTCACCATTGTCATTCCCTACCTCTTATCTAATTAAAAAAAAAAAAAAAGAAAACTTATAGGTTGAGATTTGAGTACAGTAAGAATGAAGTTGGTGAGGTATTGTGAAAGTAACGGTTAACTAATCCAAAGTTCCAATCCCACAAAAGTAAAATTGAATAATAATTAATGCATCAAATGATGTATAGCTGCTGTATGATTGTGGAATTTGTCAAAATGAGAAGAATAAATCCCTCATTTTACAAGTATTTACTGCCATTGCCATAGCTGCTCCAAGATTTTACTAGATTTTTGTTCTGAACAGATAAAACCCAGAGCTACCCAATGTAAATCCATTGATGTACAATCATCAGAAGAGATAAAACCTGTCAAACTGGTTTGCTTTCATCAGACACTTTTCCGTGCCTTTGGCCGTCTTCCTTCTCAGTCCTCTGAACATGTTTCCAACTCCCAAGACTCTTAGCTTCAGTTACCCTTTTAACCATAGTTATTTTGACAGAAATGCCCTATGTTGGTCCCATTGACTTGTCACCGTTACACGTACCCTAAAAGGTCAGCCCTGTAAATGTACATTAAACACCCAATTCAGTTTCAGCTGCACACAAAAAGATAACTATAGATATGGAGTCAGTGCTCCTCTTTCTCTCTCTCGTCTTCTGATAAGATCACCTCTCTGCTTAGATTCTTTCTTCAAAGCAAAATTTTTTTTTTATAAAGAAAGGAATGGGCTTGGTTCATAATTAGGCAGAAACAGTGAAATGGGAGAAGAAGAGAAACCAAAGCAACAGCAACACCAAAACTCAACAGAATCTTTCACAGCAATGAAATCTAGTCTCAGGCAGGCCATTCAGGTTATATCTTCTTTGATTTCTCTTTCTCATTCTATCAAAGTTTTCACTGTTAAATGGCAACTTATTCGCAAGAAGCTAGAAGAGTTAAGTTCTGGCTTAATGGCCGTTGAAAACTGTGATTCAAGCGAAAACACAGCGGTCTTTTCTGGCTTTATTCCTCCTATTTTGGTCACCGTAAATGAGTGTTATGATCTTGCAAGAAGATGCGTGGAACTTTCTTTCAGTGGCAAGCTCTTGATGCAAAGCGACCTTGATGTGATGGTTGCAAGTTTTGACCGCCATCTGGAGAATCTTTCTGGGATTTACTCTGCTGGGATTCTGAGTCATGGTTTTGCCATTGTGGTTTCAAGGCCCGGTCTTGGTGCTTGCAAAGATGACATGAGGTTTTACATAAGAGATTTGCTGACAAGAATGAAGATTGGTGATATAGAAATGAAAAGGCAAGCTCTGGTTAATTTTTATGAAGTTATGACTGAAGACGAGAGGTATGTTAAACTTGTAGTGGAAGTTGGTAACATTGTGAATGTGTTTGTAGGCTTTCTTGATTCACCAGAGATTGAGATTCAAGAAGAGGCTTCAAAGATTTTATCTTTAATATCTGGGTTTGATTTGTGTAAGGGGGTTTTGGTTAGAACTGGGATTATTGGGCCTTTGATTCGGGTTTTGGAAAGTGGCAGTGATTTGGGTAAAGAAGGAGCTGCTTGGTGTCTTCAGAAATTGACTGTTAATTCAGACAATGCATGGTCAGTTTCAGCTCATGGTGGAGTAACTGCCCTGTTGAAAATTTGTTCAAGCGGTGATTTTGGAGGGGAATTAATTGCTCTTGCTTGTGGGGTGTTGAGAAATCTTGTTGGTGTTGAAGAGATTAAGAGGTTTATGGTTGATGAAGGTGCAATTGCAACGTTCATCAAGCTTGCAAGATCAAGAGAAGAAATTGTGCAGATAAGTTCAATAGAATTCCTTCAAAATATAGCTTCTGGGGATGAATCAGTTCGTCAAATGGTGGTTAGAGAAGGAGGAATTCATGCATTAGTACGCGTTTTGGATCCTAAATCAGCAACCTCTTCAAAAACAAGAGAAGTAGCATTAAGAGCAGTTGAGAATTTATGTTTTTCTTCACAGAACTGCATAAATATGTTGATGATTTATGGGTTTATGGATCAACTAGTTTTCTTCCTACGCAAGGGTGAGGTTTCGGTTCAAGAATTGGCTCTGAAGGTGACATTTAGGCTTTGTGGCACATCAGAAGAGGCTAAAAAGGCAATGGGGGATGCTGGTTTCATGCCTGAGCTTGTCAAATTGCTTGATGCAAAGTCATATGAAGTGCGAGAAATGGCAACCGAGGCACTCTCCAACTTGGTCTCAGTTCCGAAAAATCGAAAAAGATTTGTTCAAGATGACAGAAACATAGGCTTTCTTCTTCAACTGCTTGATCAAGAGGAGGGCATTTCAGGTAACAAAAAGCTCTTGCTCTCTATACTAATGTCATTGACAAGGTGCAATAGTGGAAGAAGAAAAATTGCCAGTTCTGGCTATCTAAAGAACATAGAGAAACTTGCTGAAGCTGAAGTTTCTGACGCCAAAAGACTTGTCAGGAAGTTGTCGATGAATAGATTTCGTAGTATGCTGAGTGGATTCTGGCATTCTTGAATGTAACTCTTTTTTTTTTGTTCTCCTTTTGATTTTACTGTATATCTACATAAGTGTTTTGCCAAGTTTCATTAACTTGTTTTTTACAAATCTTAAAATGTTATTGTGCCCTCAATCTTTCTCCTTCGCGGAATCAGCTTTTGAACAGCTTTTTGTTTAATTTGTAATCAGTAGCAAGCAATCTAATAAAAGCTGTTCTTATAGAATCCTGTAAAGATACTCTGGCATTCCTGTTTGGAATTACAATTCGTATGTTAAAAAGAAATGGAAGCGTTTCTATATTGATAAGATAATATTAGATTATTTGGAAGCATTTGCGTTGTTTGCACATGGGAAAGGCATGAAACCTCTAGTGGGCATGTGAACAATGGCAATCAAGCTTTTGTCATATGCTATTATGGGACAGAGGGGATAGCGATAGATGAAAGTTCCTTCTCTATTTGCTCGTCTTTTTGTCAGCGCTGTCTTCCTCATGATAGTTTTCTTATTTTTAAAACCAGTTTAATATTCTGATTAGATTTTTTTTTTTGCATATGGTTAGATTGCCAAGCATCACTTTCTTATTAGCTTGAGAGTTGAGACAGGATTTTTAGGCCTGACAATTCGGAACTGTGATTCAATTTGCTTTGGTCGATTATCAGCTGGATTGAAAGAGGCTGACATGCCCAATGCTGGGGACCTAGCCATTTGGAGATTACACAAATTTAATTGTAATTAATTAGCCAACTTCGTTTGTAAGGCTTGTGGACCTTGAGAAGTCGACCGTCTTATATTTTGACAGGTTGTGTTTAGAGTGATGAACCGGAACTGGAACTGGAACTAGAACTTGAGCCCCATATATTCCACTCAGGAGCAATGATTTCCACCAGAGTCCAATCCCAGGTGACATTGCTCATCTTAGGGTCCGATTGCCTTCATTTTAAAGGGAATCAGCCTTCTTAGCAAAGCAGAACAAATCGACAAAATGTTGGTACAAGAGGTAATGCCACAGTGGTCCTGCCTGCAAGCAGAAGTAAATCACAGAAACGTATAGTGCTAAAGAATAGCAACAAAGAACAAACTAGAGATTCTTTATAAAAAATATTACAAACAAAATTGACTTTGTGATTGTCAATGACAAGAACAAATGAAAAATGAATTTGTTCAGAGGAAATAATGATAAGTTTGTCAGTACTAAAAATTCAGAACCACCTCAAATTTTAACCAGTGGAGATAGCTATTCAGTTTATCATATCATTTTTATCGTATCAATGTTGGATAATTGCTATTCAGTTTGAATTTATACAGGCTCTACTTGAACAAACATTTCCAAATCCGACTAGTTCCTGCAAAAACAACTTTTAAACGCATCTATGCCTTCTGCCTTGTATTGGTAGAATTGTCAATTAGTGAGACATGGCAGTAACTGAACCATAAATGTAGAACACTACAACAGTAGATATCACGCCATGTTATTATGGTTCAGCTTCTTCCAAACTTTTCATTTACAATCTCATCTTCTCTTTTTTGCTGCAACGCGGTTAGGGTGCGGGTAAGTATTTATTAGCATTGCGGTGAATGAACGAAGAGCACATGATTTTTATTTCTGCTGCGGAAGACCACAAGTTGCTTGCTGCTTTTAACTGTTAGAAGCAAAGCTCACCCACTCACGCCTTCTCATTTACTGGCCACACAATCTATCACCAGCCACCATATATGTTCTGGTTACTCGGCGGTGCCTGCAAATATTAGGAGTTCATCCAACTTCTGGAGTTGGGCCACCCTAACATAAGCCTAATATTTGGGTTGGGTTTGAGCTCAAGAATCCTAGCCTAAAACCCATTTCATAGTACCGATTTTTAACTTTCATGTTCATCAATATCAAAGTCTTTGCTGTTGTGGCATGGTATTGATGTTTTAGCTGTCATTTCTTTTTCCTTCAGATTAAGTTGCCGAAGCAAAAACTGTTTAGAATGGTGAAGTGTTGTATTGCAGTTGTGTTAGATTGGTAATATCATGTTCAGGTCTGATTAATAATATCTTAAACACTTGCTACTTTCATCGAATCTTTTACATCGAATCTTTGCAATTGAAAACGGATAGAAAACAACAACTTGATCATCTGGGGAACAAAATTTAATCTTTTACTGACAGTCTTGACTGTCCATGTGCTGTTAACATTCATGGTCAGACGTAGAGTACAAGGTCCCAGAGTGGTTCTTGTCGTATTGGAGCAGTCAATTTGAAGATTTTACTCCATTTTTAATCCTGAAGGAAGATCAAATCAAAGAGGTGAACCACTCCATAAATACCATATCATTCTGCACTGCTTCTTGATCTATTGGTTAAAAAACATTGAGAAAGACACATGATTGTAAGTTCTAGTCCTGTCAATTTTCTTTCCTTTGAAGGACTTTATCTTTCTATGAATAAAAAAATATCCTTGTTAAATTTTTTTTTGTCAAATAATTAATTTTTAATGTCAAATTTCAAACGTTCAATAAAACAAATAAACTTCAAACTTTTTCATCCTTAATAAAAAATAATATCATGAATGATCTCTTAATTTTAAAAAATCCTTTAAATATCATATTAAAATTTTTTTTAAAATTCAAATATTATATTAAATATTAAAAATAAAATATTTAATACTTACTTTTTATTATTGTCATTTTGCTGAGAGCTTAATGATGTAATCACCATAAATTACTATCTAATGTTTAATTTTACTGATTGGGATTGACAATGCTATAATGGAAAAGTAAATTATAGACAAAACAAATTTCATGGTCCAACCATTAATTCATTTTGGATTTAATATGATTTTAGTAATATTTTATCAAAATAAAAAATTAATGCATTTTAATATTTAATTCAATTATTAACATTAAATTATAAAAAAAAATTAGGAATTTTTTAAAATGGTAGGTTGGGAAACAAATAAAGAAGCGTAGTAAAAGAGCAGATTACGTAGAAAATCCACGTGTTTTGCAAGGTTCATTGGGGATAGGGACCCACCAACACAATCCCAAAAGTATCGGAGCCTTATGGATAATGACAAGGCCATTGTATTCTAAGAAGAAGAACGAACCATTCCATTGGGTTTCAATCTACTGTGATTGGGATAATTTAAATTATAATACGATAATATAATATAAATATAATATAAAAATTAAATAGAAATATAATATAATTTAAAATTATAATAATTATTATATATAAATTTAATAAAATAAAAAATTAAATTTTATATTTTTATGTCGATATAAATTATAATATATAATTTTTATATAAAATATTATATACATATATAAATTTTTATAATTTATATATTTTTATATCAATATAAATTAAAATTTATAATTTTCATAAATATTAAAAATTTTTTTATTTATATATTATAATACATTTTTAAATATTCTAATATAAAATTAAAATGTCACAATTTTAATTCGGTTCACGTCAATTATTACTAAAAACCAAAACTCCCAAAATGAAAAGTCGGCAAATGAAAATAACCATTGCAAAAGCACTCCACTCCTTTGATGGATTCATGGGGAAGAACTACTTTTTCTTTTGCATGTTTGTTTGTTTCCTTGCTTTTCAATCTTTTTGAGGTTCCAAATTTTCTTTGTCTAAACCTTTCTGCCTTTAGGATGTTTCATTGAACTTCCACTCTTTTCATTTTGGTAAAAAAGCAAGTAAAAATTCCACATTCATTGCAACAGGCCACATCCATCATTGCATCATTGATTTTACAATGCATTTGATTCATAAAATTCATGCATTGAGCTTTCATTTTTCCTATTCATGATAACCAATGACTAAACCTTAAATTATTCATTAATTATCGTTTCCAATTTTAAGATCTCATAATAATTCATTCCCCAATTCTTTTTTGTGTTTTTAATAATTAAATCATTACTACATGGATGATAATTCTTTTTTGCTATAGTTAATATATAAAAATTTGTACTTAAATTATAAGTTATTATTCGTTTTGATTCAAATATTTTTCGATTTTATCTCACAAAAAAAAATTTTATAAATTTATATTAAATTTTAACTTATATATCATAATAAAATTTTAAAACATCTCGATATAAAACTAAAGTATCAAATAATAATTTGAAGGAATAATTTTAAAAGTTAATGATTAACAATATTCCTACTTTGTTGTTTTCTTCTTTTTCTCTTATGCTCTTGTTGAGTGCTGAACTTTCTTGTTTTTTCACCTTTAGCCATTGTTTGAGTGTGAAGGAGAGTAAAGAATAAAGAATAGGGAAAGTAAAGCTCTTTAGCATCTATTTATGTTAGATGTACCCTATTTTTCTCAGCTTCCATAGCCAAATATCTTTCATGCAATTAATAAATTTTAAATATACTTAATTACATGTTAAAAAAATTTGACTCAAAGGATAAATAAGCAAAAAGTCATCATTTTTTATTTTTTTAAAAATATCATTATAGAACAGTTATATGTATCTCTCTCTCTCTCTCTCTCTCTCTATATATATATATATATATATATATATATGTATTTTTGCGTATATATTGCATTGTCATTTTAAATAACTAATGAGTATAATTACAATTCTTTTCAAGAATAAAAATACGATTTCTTTTATAACACAACAATAATATTTGTGTTTAATATTATCCACAATGAGATTTGAATTCAAATTCAATTTAAAAATTGAGATTCGAAATTCGATTTGAATTTGATCGAATTTTATTTTTTTAATTCGAACTCAACTCAAAATAAAAATTAAGTTATTTGATCTCATTCAATTAGACTCGATTAATATGTAAAATTAAATTCGATTCTTATATTCGATAAAAGTTTGATTATTGATGCTTAAACTCGAGCTCAAGTTTAAAATATTTTATTAATTAAAATAATTAAAATATATTAAAATATAAAATTTTTATTAGACTTACGAGTTACTCGAATCAGATATAAGAATATTTAAATTTGATTTAATCGATAAGTTGAACTATTCGAACTTGACTAGATAATAAATGAGTCGAATTCAAATTTTATTTGAATCGATTTCGAATAATTTATAAATATTAATATATCATTTATATTTCTAAACGAAACAATAAACAAATAAGTGTTATCATTTATACCTAACAACAGTTATTCAGCACTTTTGTCATTTTCGACATCTAATTTTTTTATTTAAGACCCTTCACACTCAAAATATAAATTTATCAAGAAGATGAGATACTTCATTTCCCTTCCTTTCACACCACATCTCCTGTTTCTTTTTTCAACTAAAAGTCTTAAAGGATTTTAGGTTCAATCAAATCAAATCAAAAGTAATTTCACTAATTTAAAGTTAAAAAACATAAATTCAAAGGTAAATAAATTTTTTTTTTATTTATGTGTTTGATTTTTTGTTTAATTTTATAAAATTTTATATTAAAATGTTTAAATACAATTTGAAACTATTACAATGAATTTTTTGAAATTTTTAAAGAATTTAAAAAAATGATGTTTGAAAACCTTTAAGAGGTTTTAAACATTCATTTTTGAAAACTTTTAACTCTGAAAATTTATTTTTGAAAATGGATACCCAAGAAATCTATTTCTTAAAATTCTTAAAAAAAAATTATATTTATTTTTAAAAACTTTTAAGAATTTTTGAAAATTTATTTTTGGATAAAAAATAATTAATTAATATGTATTTAAATAATTTTATTAAAAATTAAATTTATAATATAATTGTTAGAGTGTATTGAAAAAAAGTTAAGATGAAAATAATCCTCTCCGGACAAATCTCGTTTAACGTTATCTAAAAATCTTGTTCTCCCAAAATTCCCTCAATTCTTCAAAAATCACGAAACTACAGTCTCTTCAAAAATCACGAAACTACCGTCACGTTTTCTCATTGACATTAAATCCAACATTTATCCAAATTTCCGTAAGGCAAAATTTTTTAATTCGGTGAAGGAGGCAAAGTGTTTGCCAACTCAGATCGAATAATATTTGACGTCCTAGGTTTCATCTTTTCCCAACTGTCATTCACGAACTGGTCTGATTTTGTTACCAAATTATAATGTTTATATTTTGGGGAATCTTTTAATTTTAATCAAAAATTATTTTAATTTAATTAAAAATAAAAAATATGATGAATCATAAATGGAATTTAATTGAATGATTTATGAGTGGTTGATTAATTGAAATTCGATCTTATCTTTAGTCAAACCATCATTCCTGCTTCATACAGACATACAGTTCATACTCTTGAATTTTTTTTTTCTCTATATAAACACCTCCCATGCTGTTCTAGAGCCTCTATCTTCTAGTCCTGGAATTGCTTGATTTCTTTCTTTGTGTTAATCGTCTCTTCCAATCTTATATTTTCCTCTTCTTTTCCTGGTTTTGAGTTTGTTTCTTTACAATTGAAAGTAAAGAAAGAAAAAATGCCGGCTGTAGGAGGAATTGGCCCTGGTAGGGGCAAGGAGTACCCGGGAAACCTTACCCCATTTGTTACTGTAACATGTATTGTTGCAGCCATGGGGGGTTTGATTTTCGGTTATGATATTGGGATTTCTGGTAATATTTCGAAGATAAAAAAAAACTCGGTTCTTTTCCTTGTTTGCTTCGCGTAGAAATTAATGTTCTTTTTTGGGTTTTTGACAGGTGGAGTGACGACAATGTCCCCGTTTCTCCGGAAGTTCTTCCGAAAAGTTTGGGAGAAGAAAGAGGCTGATAAGTCGACAAATCAATATTGCCAATATGATAGCCAAACGCTGACGATGTTCACATCTTCACTGTATTTGGCTGCTCTTTTGGCTTCCCTGGTTGCCTCCACTGTCACCCGTGAGCTTGGAAGGAAATTGTCCATGCTTTTCGGTGGTTTACTTTTCTTTGCTGGTGCTCTTATCAATGGCTTTGCCAAAGCTGTTTGGATGTTGATTGTTGGTAGAATTTTACTTGGTTTCGGTGTCGGATTTGCCAATCAGGTAATAACCATTTTCTACTTCCAAGCTCTTGATCTCAATCTTGTGTTTGGATTTTTTTTATCTTCCATGTTTGAATCCAGAGATTGGTATGCCGATGGGGGCCCTTCCCGTAAAGTTGAGTTTTGTTTTGTTTCATTTGCAAGTTGTTCGTAGAGAACAAAAAATGTGCTGTCTGAAAAAGTGACAAAAGTTCTGTTTTATTTCTTTTGTGCTTTGGGTTTTTTTTTTTTTTTTAGATTTTTGTTTGGTTTTTTTGTCGTGTAATGTGTCTCGTTGTGTTCCGCTTCCTTGGAACCAGACCCCTTTTCTTCAGATCTATTTTTGAGATGGTTCTGAGTGTTTACCGATCAGACAATCTTTTTGGCTTGGAAACTGACAAGAAAACATGTCTCTGCAAACTTTTTCTGATCCAAATATGAGCTTTGTATTCTTTCTTACCGGATAAACCCTACGTGGGTGATTTCACATTAGACACATATTTTTCTACCCTGCAACAGACCTGTCTTCTTCAAGGTTGCAGTTCTTGAGATCTGAGAAGTCAGCAATAACTCACCATTTCGGTATTTAATACTGTAATAAATGAATTTCCAGTAAATGGTTGAAAGAGATATGAAGCTTGAATACGGTCAGACATGGCTTGGTTTTCCTTGCCTGACCTCTTTTTGCACTATTTTTTAGCTAAAGGGTACTCCTCGATGCAACGGGCGTTGAATAGAAAATTGAAATATGAAGGTGTCTTAATTGAATCAAATGCTATATTATAAAAAAAAATTAAAATTGTGCGTTTAAAAATGTCTTGTTTTTCTACAAATGTGACTTAGATGTGTTGAAAAGAAACCAAGTTCTGTTTTAAGTAATCCAATAAACATTGACAACCGGACAAAGCCATGTGGTCCCTGAGAAAGACATTTTGTGCATTACTTTCCTGCCAAATTTTTAGTATACTGATTTAGTTTAATTTAATTTTGACAAATTCTTTCTTTTCTCTTTGATAATTATTGCAGTCTGTGCCACTCTACCTTTCTGAGATGGCACCCTACAGATATAGAGGAGCATTGAACATTGGATTCCAATTATCAATTACAGTTGGAATCCTTATGGCCAACGTGCTGAATTATTTCTTTGCTAAGATCAAAGGGGGCTGGGGATGGCGCCTGAGTTTGGGTGGTGCAATGGTCCCAGCCCTTATCATCACAGTTGGATCTCTAGTCCTCCCAAATACACCAAATTCTATGATTGAGCGTGGCCAAACTGAGAAAGCCAGGGAGGAACTCAAGAAAATTCGTGGGGTTGATGATGTTGAGGAGGAATTTAGGGACCTTGTTGCTGCCAGTGATGCATCAAAGCTAGTTGATCACCCTTGGGGAAACTTATTGCAGAGGAAGTACAGGCCCCATCTAACCATGGCCATCTTAATTCCCTTCTTTCAACAACTAACTGGCATTAATGTCATTATGTTTTATGCTCCTGTATTGTTTAACACAATTGGTTTCGGAAACGATGCTTCTTTAATGTCTGCTGTGATCACTGGTATTGTTAACGTTGCTGCAACAGTGGTTTCAATCTATGGTGTTGATAAGTGGGGAAGGAGATTCCTTTTCCTAGAGGGGGGAGTTCAAATGTTGATTTGCCAGGTACTTTTTTTTGACAATGAAATTACTGTCAATAACAATTCGTGCTAAAATGTGATGGTACTAAATTTCATCTTTGCTGCTTTTCAGGCTATTGTGGCAGCTTGCATTGGTGCTAAGTTTGGAATTAACGGGAACCCTGGTGACTTACCCAAATGGTATGCCATTGTTGTGGTGCTTTTCATCTGCAGTTACGTAGCCGGATTTGCCTGGTCTTGGGGACCTCTTGGATGGCTGGTGCCTAGTGAAATTTTCCCATTGGAAATCCGATCAGCTGCACAAAGTATCAATGTTTCTGTCAACATGATTTTCACATTCTTAGTGGCTCAAGTGTTCTTAGCCATGCTCTGCCACATGAAATTTGGGCTCTTCCTTTTCTTCGCCTTCTTTGTGGTGCTAATGTCCATCTTTGTTTACTATTTCTTGCCCGAGACAAAGGGCATCCCAATTGAAGAGATGAACCAAGTATGGAAGTCACACTGGTACTGGTCCCGATTCGTTGAAGACCTTGATTACCCCAATGGAGGTATGGAGATGAAGAAGGGAGGCCAGGGTCCAAAGAATGTGTAACTTACCCTGGATTACTTACTTTTTCATTGTTTTTAAATTTAGCTTAGGTTTCAATGTTCTTGGATCAAGGTTACATAAATTTCTTCCTGATTAAAAACCTCTGGCTAGAAGAGTCTTGTGCTTTGTTTGAACCTGGAAATTTCAATATATTAAAACCAGGAATGTCCCTGGACAACCTAAATAAGAATCTCTATGAATTTTGAATGACGTACTTCCCACTTTGCAACATAAATAAGAATCTCTTTTTATTATTATATTTTTTGTTAACTCATCAAATGTTTCACAAGAAATCCAGAAAACCGTAAAAAAAAAAAAAAACATTGACAACCTAAATAACAATGATGAGATGAATATGAATGCATTTATATATCCAAGTCTTCCCTTGCCTGTCTGGCAAATTCTTCCGTTATTTGTAATTGATTTGGATTAATTATACAATAAATAATTTGGTGTGGTCCATTTAAGTGAATCATGTAGTTCGGAGTAATTTTTTTTTTATTTAACGACAAGGAAATTTTGAGTTTTACTTAGTATATTTTTATCAAAATTTAATAAATTTATGAAAAACTATCTTCTCACAGCCTCCAAATGAATTCAAATTTAGAAACTTAAAAGATAAGCATACTCTCTTTACATAGTTCATGCATCTTTAAACTCTCGTCTTCTTGCTTCTTGGGTTCTTAATTGATGACATAGCAAATTAATAAAAATTTCTTATTTAATATTACTTAATATCCGATTTGGGCGACAGCCGCAATCTAAATTCTTAATTTCAATTTCAATGATTAAAATTTTAACCTCAAATATATAAAAAAAATGTCAAGAAAAGTACGTCTCTAACCAAATGAGGAAACTAAATTGTCTTGTGAAAAAGCAGCAAACTTCACATGTATTAAGAGAAACATAGTTGATCCATTTAAGTTCTCATGATCTTGTCGTTTGCAAAAGAGGAGATTTCTTTCACCTTCACATATGATTTTGTTTCAGTCTGTGAGTTAATTTCATGTGGTTTCTTTGCCACTGTTTTACTCAATTTCTTGTCAATGCTGTAATTAGCCTGCCCAAAAAACTATCTGATGAAATCAAAGCTAAGGTATCTTACTCAAAGATGAGTTTATCTACCTTATTAAGCAAAATCATACCCGAAGTTTGATCCATTTTTATCTCATTAATGGATAATAATGCAGTCTTGAGTCATTCATTCTTCTCCCTTTGTTGATAACAAAGGATCATGAATAAAAAGACAACTTTGAAAAGAAGGATAAAATTCCATTTCCCATCTCTGTCAAGTTGATATCTTTTATTTTCTTCTTTAAATTTGTAATGTCAAGGAGAAGATAGTATCTCACTGTATCTCTTCTGACCCTTTATCATTGGCTAATGGTATTTGCATTGATGAAAAAAGCAGTCACTTGGCTGAAATTATAGTGGGAATAAATGGCAAATTTATCATCAACAATCCAAACAAATGGATAAAACAGTTTCATCAGATTCCCATAACTTTATTCCAAGTGGATAATCAACAAGTTTCACATGCTTTTGAAGTGGCTTTTTCTTTTTTGTTTTCTTTTCACCATGTAATAATGAAAGACCTGTATAGTATAAGCTTTGGTGAATGAAATGAAAAATGTATGAATTGGATGGATATTAAAACATAGGAAGGAAAACTCTTTCGAAGGAATGGCTAATTGTCAGTTTCATCACGGTCTTGCACTAAGGCCAAACGTGAATCGCATGACTATACATTTACTATATTGGGGGGAAGACAATTTACTCCTGTTTCAAGTCCCGAAACCTCCCCCTTCCAAGAGACATGTTTTTTTGGATGGGATGGAAGGAAGTAGATAAGTGGAATTAATTTTGGTTACTTGTCCCTCTCTATGATCTCTCAACATTTTGGTGATACAAGAACTTTGGGTATCGTATTCTTATGCTATCCCTTTTTTTTTTAAAATGTTGTCGGTCCCTCACATCTTCTTTTTCTTTTCCTTACCTTTATGCAAGAGAGCATGTTTCCCCCATGTTCCGATTCACCCCAACATGCAATTCATATTCCGTTTCAATTTGTGGGCCAAACTTTTGTTATAAACAAGAAAGATGATTATGGGGCTTGCTTGGCCTGAATTGCAGTTTTTAGGCTTACAGTAAGGGCTCATACTTCCTCACTGCACCCAGGTTGTAAAATCCTGATCCATAGCGTAGCCCAAATTTTGATGCCTACACTAGCGATGTAACCCCTATTTGTCTTTGAACTTGATTTTTTTTTACTATAGTTCTTCTTGACAATGCAATCTAAAGGTTTAGATTCATATAGAGAAAGTAATCAGATTGGAGGTTACGATGGAAGAAAAGAAATCTATTGAAATTCCAAGTATACTATACTCATTAAGAAACAAGGGATAATCCCTGCAGCTGGCGACATAATCCAGTAGCTAGCAGGTTATACTACAAGGAAGATTGAAAATAGACGACAGGGAGAGAAGTTGGCTCTCTCCTTATTCATGGACTTCGAATCATAAGAACTTTTTTTTTCGTTGTTGTTCGATCAGCTGCTTGATTATGCAGTTCCAGCAACGCAAAGCCATTGACCAATAAAGAGTGAATCACAATCGAGATTTGGGTTGACTGAATCGAAGAATGTAGTGGTCAAGTTGAACAAGTTTGTTACACCAAAGCATGTGTCGCCCTTAACTACACCATGCACCTGGTTACAATTTGGAGCGCTTTCAGCTATGAAGACAATCATGACCAAAAGAGTAATGATCAAGACAACCTTGGTGATCATGGCAGTTTTGCTGTTGGACTTTGCCATTTTTGCTGTTTCTTTTCTTGTTTTTTTTTTTTTTCTTTGCCTTTAGCTGGTGAATCTGTTCTGCTCTTCGGTGCAGCAACTCCCCGGATTAAACCCCTATTTATAGCAAAAACTTACCTTAGTAACTTACAAAGAGTCAAGCAGCCGTTAATATCAGAGTGGTAATTGCCGAATTGGTAAACAAGAGGCCGGCTTTTCTTTGTGATCTATTCTCATTCCATAGCGGATTAGACAAAGACAATGCAATACTGATTAGTAAGATTAAGAACATTGAAGCAGCATAAAGGAGAGGTCTGCAATTTCCATCGCTTTCCTAATGGCCTAGAACTTAAAAAGCTCACGGCATAACAGTTCAGCTGCAACTTGCCCTGAGAGGGAAGAGGAACTTTGGCACCAAATGTGGTGACAAGACAGACACAAATAATAATATAAGACCAGGGTGACGGTTAGGACTATGATACTCCGAACAAAAGATCACAGAAAGCAGCTTGTTATGATCACTCTGTAGGTCAAGACCCTATAAATCTTTGTAATGAATCACAGTATATGAATATGAATCTCTCTTTAGATTGTCTTTTTGGCTTTCGAGATTTGATATATTGTCAGCAGGTGGAAGTATTGGCACAAGCATATATTCCTTGTTCTATAGTTTATAAATTAAATGTGATTGGTTTGGCTTTGTGTCCAGTAATTCAAGTGCATCACTCTTTAAACAGACTCTTCAGCCGGAATTCAAGTAGAAAGTTTAACTTGTGGCCCCCTTGGCCCAACGATACCATTAAGTACCTGAAACCACTGGGATTTATCCCAAATAAAAAACCCTTAATGAATGAAACATCATCAACCATTAGAAACGATTTAGCACCAAAATCATGACCAGAAACAGGCTCCAAATGCATCTGACCTGATGTCTTTTAGCATTATTACTATTTATGCATTCACAATGACTAGCATCTGCTCTGGCTTGGGAAAATCAAAGGAGAACATCTGTCATCCCATATCTAAATGGCTTGGCAAGATTTCGAAAGCACCGCAAAAAATATTCTACCGAAATTGTGAAACGTTTGCTAAAGATAATTGATGCGAACATTGTAGAATATGCATTGAAACATTCCTACTCACTTCGAAATCCATTAAGTCTATAACATCTCTTGAAGAACAATTTTATTCCTTTAGGGAGGTCACAAAATCACTACAAAGCAGATGGTAACTAGCCGAGTGTCCAGTCTCCAATTACAGAAAATTTAGCTTACTTTTATACAACAAAAGATGAGTTTCCTGATCATTCTTATAAGGCAAGACCCTTCACGTTATATGAAAAGATTGGAGAGGTATAAGCAAGAGAGGATTATATAAAACTTCAATCACATGACAAATGCCACTTTAAGATGAGTCTACTCCTTCAACCTGCTGTCGAGCAAGGTATCTTTCCCTTCGCTCCTTCTGCAAAAGAGAAATTCAGAGTCAAAAGTAATACATGATATACAAGTAAAACATCTGTAAGCATAATTTTCATCAGACGATTACAGGAAAACTTACCCATTCATCTATGACGAGTCCTTCCCCAATAATCCCTGGACCTGCATCCTCTGGAGGCTTTTTGCTTGCCTCAAGTGCGGCATCAGCATCAGCTAATTGGCGCTTCAATTTCTCTAGAGCCTTCATAAAGTCACGAGGCACAAACCCATAAACATTTAGCCTAATTATGTGTTCTGTTCCAGTTATTCTTTTTTAGGCTTTTATTTTGTGATGGGAGTATTAGGCGACAATATTGATAATTTGGCATGCATTTCAAGCATCATGCAGGTGGAAAATGTTGGCACGCAGATGTATAAAAAGCAGAAGCAAGCATGACTAAAGGCACTTACAGCAGGATAAAATAATAAGATGCTAACAGTACTTACAGCACAAGGACGCCCGGGATATAGAAAAACAACCCGCAATATTTGCTCTATTGCCACTTGATCTTTCTGCTCATCAAACTGCAAAAAACAGTCACCTAAGATTAATTACACAATACCGTTAGAAATATCAAACCTCAGAGGAAAAAAGGGAAATAAGATAGGTAGAGAAGCAATCATGGGGTAGGTGGTAATATTCCCAATGGCGCATCCAACAAAGGCAGCCACACAACCCAAAAAATGATTGAAAAATCATGCATGCCTGTATCAAAATGGGCCCAAAAATCAGCTTTGCACAAGAGATTCTTATCTCATCAAACATGAAAATTGAGCATATGCCACTTTCAAAAGTTGATTTACAGCAACACCAGGACATCTTGATAACAAAAATGCAAAAAAAAAAAATCTGGCCCCAAAGCACAGTAGTTTCTTCATGTTGCAGACATCAGGTACAAATCCAGAAATGAAGAATATTGGATATAGAAGCTTGTCCCATGTTGACATTTTATGCTTCAGATTATAAAGCCTTGGAAATACAAGAATCCAATCAAACTATAACACTGCTTATATGTAATAATCTAATCCCAATAAAGCTGCTTATTTGCAGAGAAATTTAAACTACTTATTAACCACATAAACTAAATATTATATGGATCAACAGAATATTACTCTATATCCATCATAAGCTCACCAACATCCAATTGTGATCAAATTAAAAAGTCTTATTCTTTGTCATCAAGATAGAGACTATAAACCATGTGAATCATCTAAAAACACAGTTTATAGGAGAAGTTCTACGAACCAGCTCAGGTACATAATCCATCGGACCTTTCACCTTGAGACTCATGATTTTAAACTTAGCCTTGCTCTTTTGATCCATTGGTTTTTCATTTTTCTCAGGAAGTTCCACAAACTTGAAGACTAGTAAATCCATTCAAAACAGGAAGAGAAATCCATAAGAATCATTCGGAAGATATGAAGAATAGTGAAAACAAATATTAGTGCCATTGCATAATATGAACCAGAAGTAAATGGTATGCATAAGATAAGAGTGTAAAGTAGCAATTACCCGTTGCTATGATACTCTCGCCAGGGGCAAGAATAGCACCCGGAGGGCGCATGAAACAACTCTTTGGTGATGTTGTTTGAAACTAGAACAACACACACAAAAAAAGGACTCATTACAAGACTCATCAAAGCAATGGTTATAATACACTACATTTAACTATAACATACTCATTCCCACTTCTACCTCTAACTTATAAATCATAACATACCAAACATAGACAAGAAGAAACACAAAACAACAAAGCGAAAATGAAATGTTCCAAAGCTTTAAGGTTTACCTTGAAAGCTGCATATGACTTGCTCCTGTTTTTTATCCTGACCGCGCTCCTCGCCTGTTTGCCAGGTTCATCTTGGAAAAACAAGACAAAATATACAGTCAAAAACAAGAAAATTGTAATCTGAAATTAGTTATTTTAGATAGCACACGACAATGGCTTTGAATTCTCAATCCTTGAAGTCTCAATGCAAGTTCTTTTGAAATTACTCAAATAGAGAGTACAGTCATTTTCATTTCACAGTTAAAAAAAGAATTTATTTATTTCAAATAATTAGTTGACTTTAATGTTAATTTCCAGAAATAAGCATAAAAATTTTTGCTTTAGCTTTAATTAAACAAGGGGAAAATCTAAAATCTGATAATATTAGTCTTTTTCTTAGTTACTTACATGGAAAATAGAGCTTATTTGCCGGATCAAGCTTGAGCCGACGCCGAGAGGGAAAAAGCGACTTTGCAACGGAGGAAACCGAATTGGCAGAGCCGTGATGGTTCGATCCTTCGACGTGAGGTTGACTTTGTCCGTGAAGATTCGACGCCGAGGAAGAAGACGACGTCGTACTGGTATTGTTATCGGATTGCCGAAACGGCAGCTTAAAAAATCCACAAACTTTGCCATCGGACGGTGACTTTTGCTCACTTTCTATTGGCATCTCTCTCTCTCACAAGCGCTTGTACGACACCGTTTTCCAAGGAAAAGAGAGACAGAGAGCGTCGGATTTAAGAGCATGAATTCTGCTGTATTTGACTTGTGAGAACTTCAAGTCCCTTTTCCCATTTCTTAGCCTTTAAAGTTTACCTTTCCGTGCTTGATTAGCGGGGACGATCAAGCCTTTTTAAAACGACGCGTCTTCCTTTACTGTTCTTCCTTTTTTTTTTTTTTACACTGCTTTTGGGTTTTGACACAGCTCGTTTACTTTCAAACCAACTTTGTTTCTCAGGTCATGTCCTGTTCCTTGGCTTATAACAGCCAGACATTAACGTTAAAACGACGACTTTGGGAAAAAAGAGGTTGACTAGGAAAACGCGGCAGATCAGGGCAGGTGGTATTTTTGATTGATGGTTTTGGATTGGATTAACGTCTGTTTTAATGGGACAAATTTTTTTTTTTAGTGATTAACAATCATATCTCACTCTGGAAGATTCAAGGGCAATGTGAATGAGTGTTGTGGCCCCCACTGAACAAAAAATTAAAGTTGGATTTTTCACTGGATTTTCCTTTTCTGAATGTCTTTGTCGACTAGGAAATTCAGTTTGGCGGCTGCAAGTTGACGATAAATGCTGAGTTGATGCCGATCGTCGATTGGGAGGTATTTTCACACTGAACTTTATGCTCTAATACAGAGTATCTAAAAGGTTGAGACACATGAAATGGAAAATGGAAATGGAAATTCACAATTCAATTTTTTATTTCCAGCTTCTCCAGACGAAAGGGGAATTCCAAAACTCAAACTACAATGAACCCTCCATTTTTTAGGAAACATACAAAAGCTCAAACTGGGAATTCAGAGTCATCCCATTGAAGGACTGTGGAATATATATATATATATATATATATATATATATATCAGCTCCTCAATTGAACATCTTTCTTGCTCTGATATCACTTTTAGTAGATTCAAAGATGATAGCTGTAAAAATAAATCACAATTGATTAAGTTAACCCTTACAATATTCAAATTATTATATATAGGGTTCAGTTAGATGAATGATAAAATTAAAAATTATTATTATTATTATTATATTTGTAAATAAAAAATATTACGATAATAATAATAATTGAAAAAAAATTAATAAAAAATTTATATTAAATAAATTTTACTAAATTCAATTAGTGGTAATTAGAGCCGAATCCATACACCCACATAGTTTATTACTAGTTTGAACAAGCCTTTTTGTGTGTTTACGTGGTGGAGAAGGAGACTGGAGGATGGCTTTGTCGGAGCAAAGCCTGTTGTCTAGACTCTGGAGTCTTAGATTTATATACATGGGCTTCGAATTCTGGGCTTCTGGGTCAGTGGGATTTAACAATAGACCAGAAGTTGGGTTGGGCTATTGCCGTATTGCCCTGTCTTGAAATTATCAATCATGCAAAATCCAAATGGGAAAAAATCCAGCAGCCCACACCAATTTCACCCGCACCATTTTAAGTCCACATTCTTCTAATTTTGTTGTCCCAGACCACCCATTGCCCGCAGATCAGCAATGGCAACCAGGACGGACCGTTGAAGCCATTCCCGCCATGGATCTTCTTCATCTCCTCCACTTTTCTCCGGGGTTCTTGACCGTCCGATTCTTCACGGTAAGGTATATTTTGCGGAGTTATGATGAAATTGAAAAAAGTCAACAGATGCAGGATTTAATTGGGACTTTAACCCTACTAAAACATGGCAAAAACCAGCCTATTTGATCAGAGTTATAATGAAAACTTCATATAGTCATTCCAGTTTTCTTATGCTTGCCCTACATGTCCTACAGGGCTGACATTGGACGCTAATCGTTTTTCTTTTTTCACCATTGTTTTTGAGAAAGTTCTCGACCTCTTACCAAGGCCATCTGTTTCCTCTTCTACTTTCAACTGCTTTGATCATCTAATCTATTTCTAAAATACAAACTACGTACGTACGTATAACTATTTAATAACCAAGTTCTTGCATGGTTATAATATATATAGTAATCATCCACAAAAGCTTTGGATCTCGTATCTGGAAATACAATTAAACAATGTCAAATTTCCCTTTACGATATGGGCTTTCATATAATTTATTGTTCTGATGTTTGTTGAAGCAGTCAAAGAGAAACTAAAATCATTAGTAATATCAGAAGAATTTTGGATAATCTACCAAATTTTTTGTGTAAAATCCAATCCAACAATCAGGATCAACACATGCACACGTATGCGACTTCTTTTGGAAAACCCATGCACAAGCAAACCCTGGATTTTGGACAAGTAAATTACCTTATCAAGCATGACAGCAAGCATGGAGACATAATCCCACCATTATAATTGTATTTTATGTTAATCACTTTGAATTAGCAAAGCCTTACTGACTATCTTAGTTCTAAACAACATGAGATAAAGCCATAATACATAAACTATTATTATTTGACCATCTATGCAATTAACCTTATGTTATATATAAATTCATAATCCATGAGATAAAGCCAAAGCCAAAATAAATAATGTTTTTCACATGAATCCACTTTTGCATTTATTTATACCATTAAATAATTAAGATAATAAATAAATAGTATTAAATTGCTATGGAGAAAGATTAAAAATTGGACGCAAATGGCCGCCTGCCTTTGATGATCCACTTTCAAGGACACCTGTCCAAATAAAATACTATTTACGTCAAGGACTTGCTCTTTTGTTGTTTGGAAATTAGCAGACATCATTCGATTTATGACGTGGCGGCCGCATATGGGCTGATGATGAATCAGCTGATTTCGTCTGTGTGGAAATCTAACGTCTTAGATTCTACCACGTTAGACCACAGTGCTTGTGATTTTAGGTTCGTACATGAGATACGGTGTCGTCATGCAATACAAATATAGTATACCAATTTGTATATTTTTACTAAAACTAGAATCTGACGAAATTGTCCTTTATTATTATAAACGTGTGACGTGATGAGCTGCATTGTGGCGTAGCTGAGCCGATTAAAAATAGAAAAAAGAAATCCAAAGTCAAAGCACAAAAGGTCAAAATGGGCCGAATATTTTTAATTAGTAGTGTAATGAAATTGAAATTAGTTGATATAATAAAAAGTGTGAATTTAAGTTTAATTTAAAATTTATTATTTAAAATTTAATTTAAATTTGATTAAATTTTAATTTTTAAATTTGAGTTTGATTTTAAATAAAAATCAAATCAATTAAATTTGTTTGATTAGATTCATTTAATAAAAAAAAATTTTAATTTTTATATTTGATTTTAAATTCAATTATATGTTTGAATTTGAATTTAAATTTGAATTGATATATATATAAACAAAATAATAATTTTTAAATTAAAATAATAAATATATTAAAATTTAAAATTTTGATTAAATTCATAAATTACTTAAATTTAATATAATAATACTCAAATTTAACTCATTTGACAAATTAAATTGTTCTAACTCAACTTGATAATGATTTAACTAAATTTAAATTTTGTCATTTGGTCGCAATCTCAATAACTGTATTGAAAAGGAATAGTTTTGAGGGTGAAATGGTGCCGACCCATTTGAAAGATTTCATTATTAGTTTTGAGTTTAGACTAAAACTGAGAGAAGCTTATTTTCTTTATCTTAATAATAACGTTCTCGACCTTTTCTTTTTCCTTTCCCCTCTGATCTGTTATAAATTTATTTCCTCTATTACTTTCTTGGTTCCCTGTTTGACTCAAAGGAATTCAAGACAAAAGGTTTCTTCCATAGCTTCACAACTATGAATTCCAATGAGAATTTATGGCCCACTTAAAAAAGCAACAAATCATGATTTGTCTCTAACATGGTTGGAAAAAACCATTGATGTTATCCATATTATTATAATTTTAATGTATCCAAAATTAGAAAAAATCCGGCTGTCATCCAAGGGCGGATCAGGCTGTGGGTAGCTAGCTAGCTATAGCCTACAGGAAATAGCCAACGGTTTTCAGAGATTATATAGCCATCACAAAGCCCCTCATGGTCTATTTTAGAAGCAACCACACTTCAATAATAATTGCTCGGACGTCGAATCTTGACGCGTTGCTGGACAGGAAATTATCAATTTCAAATGTTGCGGACAACAAGACTAGAAGACAAACAATGACGACTTATTTCATTGGGCCAAAGATAAAATTCATGTACTATGCTGTTCATTATATATATTAAAAAAAAAAAACCTTTTGGTTTACATGACTTTAATTTGCCAATGATTAACGATGATTTGAGTTTCTCAGTGTAAAACCATCTTTTAGACCGTAAGATCATCAAGTTAACGTGTTTAAAGATTATTTCCAATTTCTTGTAAATTGACAAACTCGATTTTCTTTCAAAATTGGATCATGCAATCCCTATCTCTCTCTCAACAGTTTAGTATTAATGAAGAAGTCTGATAGTGCCAAGTTTTGAACTAATGGTAAAAAATTTGAAATCACAATAAAAAAAAATGATTAAAGGTAAAGGTAAGAAATATTTTTTGTATTTGCACTCTAACATTTAAATAGAGATTAAAAAAAATAAAAATAAGATGAAAAAAAAGTATAATACTTAGATAGTACATGAAAGGTCTTTAATATAAAAAAGAGGTAAAAAATTTAAGGGTTGAGCGATTATATAATCAAAGACATGACATTGATATTGTATGATTGATTTAAAATTTTAAAATATTTTAATTATTCGTTGATAATTTTTGATAAAAAAAATCTCTTTAAACCTAAAATTAATCCTCACAAGATTCATGATTATTGCTGAAGTATAGATAATGATGAAGAGTTTTCTGAATTTGAGTTTGGGTGTTGACGAAGCTAGCTATCAAAGTTAAAAATGGTAAGAAACATGCTCACATGAAAAATCAAACGTTGAATGGACTAAAACCACATAACTCCCTGAAGTCGTCCTGATGTGAGCTACTATTGTATTCCATGTTCACACAAAAATCAAACTTGTTTTTCCTTGTTCTAACTTCGTTTTTATGTTGACTAAGCTATGAATTTTTCTTCTCCATTAAAACCCCATGAAATTAAGCTCTTTTATTGATCTTACACGAGTTTAAGAAAGTATGTTTAATCCAATCATTAGAAAAGAGAAATTTTTTTTGAATTATATAGATAATTATAACATCTCGAAATGGAAACTATTGTGGAAAAACCTTATCTTGAAATTTATTGGTGGAGAATCCATTTTCAATCGTCTCTGTGCATAATAAATGTTCATATGTTTTGGCAAACACCCAACTCTATTATTGCCATCCCCGAATTAAATGCTTCCCAAGCATTTATTATTTTAATAAGCGTATGAACTGATTGACTTGAAAAAAATTATTAAAAGAAAAATGATTGAATTACCCTCTTATGGTGGGAACAGAATTGGTCCAGAAGTGGTGCTTCCATGGGTAAAACAGTCTTTGGCTTCAAAGACTTTAATATTGAGTCACAACTCGGACCAGCTTAAGCTCAACTCAATCCAACCTTGCAAAAATGCAGAGAAAGGAGAGGGGTACGTGGCTGCTTCATGTTGGTGACAGCTAATGAGAATCCAGAAAGTGAGGAGTGACACTGAGATGCCGGGAAAATGATAGGAAAAAAAAATTTTGTATATGGATTATTTTCCGTTAATTGAGATTTAATAAGGTGACTTCACTTTTTTCTTCAAAGGAGGACACGTCGCCAGGGTGATCTAACAGAGGACGGTACCGAATCCTTTTGACTTCTCTTAACCTCTCGCTATTTATACAAGTACAGTTCCCATATGGACCTTCATCTCTTGGCTGCATCATTTTTCTCTTTTCTCATCAGTTCTCTGACTCAGCCCATATCTCTCAAGGAGATTCTAACCAAAACCAAGAAGCTAACATGGGAAGAACACCTTGCTGTGATAAAAATGGGCTCAAAAAAGGGCCATGGACGCCGGAAGAGGATCAGAGGTTGATTGATTATATTAAAAAACATGGTAATGGAAATTGGAGGACACTGCCAAAGCATGCTGGTAACTTTCTTCTTCTTGATTTCTGGTCTGCATGGATGGATTATTGTACTTTTTTGTGGACTTTATAGTAATGGGTTTTTGCCCTTTTTAATTGTTAATAATAGGGCTGCAAAGGTGTGGAAAGAGTTGCCGTCTTCGATGGACCAATTATTTGAGGCCTGATATCAAAAGGGGTAGATTTTCTTTTGAAGAGGAAGAGATAATAATTCAGCTACACAGTATAGTGGGCAACAAGTGATGTTCTTTTCCATCTTCCTTTGTTCTTTTGGTTCTCTATTTCTTTGTTTCGTTGTATTGTTTTTCTAATGTGTTGAATGTTTATAGGTGGTCTGCCATTGCTTCTCGGTTGCCCGGAAGAACAGACAACGAAATAAAAAACTATTGGAACACTCACATTAGAAAGAGGCTTCTTCGAATGGGAATTGATCCAGTGACTCATAGTCCTCGACTGGATCTTCTCGACCTTTCCTCAATCCTACGTTCATCTCTTTGCAACCAATCTCAAATGAACATGTCAAGGTTACTCGGAGTCCAATCCTTGGTTAACCCTGAGCTACTAAGGCTAGCCACATCCCTCATGTCATCTCAACGTCAAAACCAAAACCAGAATTTCCTTCTTCAAAATGTTCAAGAAAACCAACTTTGCAGTTCCCAAGTCCAAAACCAATATCAACCAGTAATGCAATCTAATCATCTCCCAACGCAACTCCAAGAAATCCCATCTTGTACTTCGTTGAATCTTCCTTGTAGTATTCAATTTTCTAACGAAGCACAACACATGAACCCCAATGTGGGCCAATTTCCATCAAATATCACCGACACAAATGACTGGCAAGGCAATGCGATGACTTCAAATTTGACTGAAGATTACGTGCCGATACCGCCAAACTATAACTATTACGGCTCTGATGAAACCGTCATGGACCCTTCATCCGAAACCTCAAATTTCCAGTCCAACAACAGCAATCAGAGCTTCAGCTTCACGTCAGTTTTATCGACGCCTTCATCAAGTCCAACTCCATTGAATTCAAACTCAACATACATCAACAGCAGCTGCACTGAAGACGAAAGAGAAAGCTATTGCAGCAACATTTTGAAGTTTGAAATCGCAGATATTTGGGATGTTAATGAATTCATGTAATTGCAAAGTCAAACTCAACAAAAAAAATCCATTTTTGTGGGTTTTTGAATTCAGTGGGGGATGTTGATAGGTGTAAAATTTTCTACTACTACTACTAATTAATTTGTTGCATTAATTTTCTCAAGCTTACTCTTTCAGGAACCAAGATCCTACCTTCTTCACCTTCTTTTTTAAATATTTTTTATATAATTGGGAAGTTTCCATTATTGATATGTCACAATATTATTTTTTTGCTCTCCTCTATTTTTGTATCTTATTTGCATTAGTCATGTTATCATATATTTTTTCAATTCTTGTCAAATGGACAGATAAATATATCTACTTCCCAAACATATATATATATATATATATATATATATATATATATAACAATAACACATAAGGACGATGCTGTTGGCTTTTCACAAGATTTATGACACTCTCAATAAATAAAGCAAAATCTTTTTTTCCTTCCCTAATTTAGGTCATGTTTGCCTAGAACAAGAAAGCTATAGTGCAATAATAAAAATAATAATAAAAAAACTAACCCAAACTGTTACCTAATTAATTATGTATGATCTTAAAGACAAAAATCATTATAGAGAAAGACCTTGGCTTCAAAGATCCCGACAGGAAGTCAAATTCCGGCGGGTTTCCGGCCATGAAGTGTCGGAGTTCGTGAATCCTGCACGTGTCTGTGCCACCTGTAAGGGAGACTGTCTTTTTCAGGTAGTGATAAAGTAAGTAATTTTGCATGGGGGATTATGGTAATATCGGGTTTGCCCAAAGAAAAAACTAAAAAAAGAAGGGCACATGTCGATCTACTAGCGGCGACCATAGCGGGGGACCACCATTAAAAGAAAGAGCTGGCTTTTATTGAAAAACAACGCGTGCCTCTTGTGCTGTGTTTTGTCCCTTTATCATCATCTCTCACTCTATTAATAAGCTTCAATGTCAAACCAAGAACCTAAATGTTTAATGACGTCAGCATTTTCAGGGACATGGACTCATTCATGCAGAGGTGGGTCCCGAGAGCAGGTTTGGCTTTGAGCTCACCGGTTGACCGGGTAATCACAGTAATAGGCTTCTTTCTTATCCAGTTTTAGAGACCAACCGTTGATTCGACTGTACTTTGGCTGGTGGGGGCTTTATGCAATAATCAATTAATCATGCTTAGTCAATAATATTTCTTACGAACTAATTTATAATCACTTCAAATCTATTTGTTTAGTTGCTTAATCATACGATGCTTTCATTCAGTACGTAAAAAGAAACAGGTGCATGAATAAAATGTGATGAAAGCCAACCGTGCATGCCAAAAAGCCATTTATAATCAGACTATCTTCCCTATCCATCTTCTTCTGCTCGTGTGATCCGAAGCTCCTTTCGCTCTTTTAGCGAACCCCAAAATTCCCATGTAATCGCTACGTCATTTGTACGTCGAAAATTGGTCTTGTTTTTATGGGTCAAAAACCAAACAGTTAGCACCTCACTTTCATGTATATATATATATATATATATATATATAAAATCCAGTGTACACAATTTAAATCAGATTTTTAAGGCTCGACTAGTCAATTATCGTAGAAATTTTTGGTGTTGGGGGTGTAAATGTAGGGTTCTTCTTTGACTATGAGCCGACCAGAGCCTGAGAAAAGGACACCCTCCATTTCTTGATCGACCGCCCAAAGAAAATTTGTTCTTTCAAACATTTTGAATGACTACACCCCTGTAAAATGGGTTACTGTCTTAATTTGCGTATGGGTTTTCATTTCTAGCTTTCATGTTCTTTTTCTTTCCAATGACGGTCAGTGCAGCACAATTTGGGATTAGAAAAATAGGGCCTCCTGACGATTATGGACGTCTAAAAGATGGGATTATTGACTAAGAATTCACCTTTTTGGATGTTTCTTTAGAATATGAAACTAGTAATAATTTCAAACAGAAAGGGTTTTGTGATTTTGTCTGCTTCAACTACAGAAGCAAACATATGTGTGTGTTTCTGTTTGATTAATGTTGATTTCCAGATTGTGGGGTTAAAAGGTAGCAACAGGCCTTGCTGTAACCTTAACTGATGATTGCTTCAAGCTTTATTTTATTGACGACGGTAAAGCTTCAGATTCCATTCTTTTCTCTTTCTCTTTTTCCATTTCTCTCTTGACGGATCAATTAAATAATTATCAGTTGAAAACTTTGGGATACGTTGTTGGATTGTTATTTCTGCATTAATAATATTTTTTTTATCATGATAACTTAAAATAATAATATCAAAGAAAAACATGGAATATTTTATATTTGTGACCAATTGAAATGATTAATTATGGTCTTTATCGATAAGTTAATCTTACTAGTTAAGCTAGCTAGAGTAGAACATAAGTCTTAGTTTTGATTTCATCGTATACATAATACGATATGATTAAATTTATTATATTATCAATTAAATAAAATATTAATTTTAATAAAATTTATTTAATATAAATTTTTTATTAATTTTTTAAATTATAATTACAATAATTTTTATTATTATTTTCAATTTAATTTAAATCCACATTACGACCATACAAACGTAATCTAAACCGGCTAAAGACAAAACTAGCAATGAATGGACAGGTCAATTGCACAGGCCTTTTATGGTTTTTTTTGCTTTTTTGCTAATTGGTGCCAGGATGCTATTAGAGTTCAATTCCTCCCTTGAATGCGATCAACACTAAGCTTGATACGTGTTAGATTGTTGTTGAATTCTCTGATAAACCCAAACTTGAAGTACGCCCCAGTAATAAGAACTAAGGTAATCACTCAACCAAAAGGACAAAATCAGAAATGGATGATAATTTGAATTTGGAATTTCATCCTTTTTGAAGTTTTTAATGGTTGAAGACATTAATCTGAGTTCCCAGCCAGATCCCAACTTTTTATTCAGCAATATTGTTGAACATGTATAAGAAATTCTTATGCTCAACAATATATATCAAATACGTTAAGCTTTTGATTCCTGAATTCAATATTTGGTTTGCAAGGTATAACAACAGGTTTTATCTGCTTCTTTTTGGGTAAATAATAAGATTTACTTATCCAAAAAACTGAACATTCCCATAGAAATGTTAATCAAAGAGATTTCCCATGCTATCGGTTCTGACCAATACTCCAAATTGTGCAGTATTAAACAAATCAAAATCTGCCCTTGTTCCTGAACAAAGGCCTGTCTCCGGTCAAGATCAAGATTGACCACTGTGCAGTAGTTGGGCAATTAAATCTGGCCCATGTTAATGAAACCATTTTCACATTTAGATCCCTTCAGAAACTATTAGCCCAAGACCCCAAATGTTTCTGAAACCTTATTCATTTAAACCATTAGATCTCAATGAGGCCCAAAAAAAGCCAGAGATGAAAGCAAGTAGCGTTTATGTAGAACACTAATAAAATATTAAAAAAGTGATTAGTGCTTGTATTAAATAATGGAAACTGAGTACCAAAATAATCATAATGGAAACTGAAACTGTCCAAAATGATGGATTAATGCTCCATATAGTTTTCTCAACATTTGACCAGGCCAACCCGACAATGGCATATGATTGTGCCACCGACTTGTGTTTTAAGACTAAATATATATGGTTGACGATGTTGATTCTTAGTTGTTTTCATGTAATTATACTTAGAGCCTCTGCATATTAAAATGAAAAACTGTCAACGAACATGAATTCCCCACTTTCCATGAGTGGGATCGGAGCAGTTTGATTGTAGCTAGTAATTGCTCGCTTCCAAAGTATTTTTGATAGTTTTCAACGCGAAGCTTTGAGGTTTGGTAATGGTGGAATGTCTATCTGACCCTTGAGATAAAACAAGAGCAAAACACTAGGGACAAACTGTCATAAGACACGGACCCGAGAAATTGAGGATATTTCAGTCTATTGGAGATGACGGCAGCCAGCAAATAACCGACTCATGTCCGAATTCCAACACGTGTCCATTTGGCACTTTCGATTGTGGACTAGGCAACGTGTAAATCAACCCAAGTTGCCCCTTAACGTGTCAATCGTGAACGTATCCAACGCCACTTGGTTACTTCCATTACTCCAAAACAGTAAGAAAAAAGATTAGACCCAAAGGAAAATTTCCAAAACTATAAATTGATCAATTCATCAAAGACAAAATAGAGGCCTAGTCCAGGACGCTATGAGTCGGTCCGTGGAGCCACTGATCGTGGGCGGAGTGATCGGAGACGTGCTCGACATGTTCACTCCTGCGACAGAGTTCACTGTCCATTACGGCACCAAGCAGGTCACTAATGGCTGTGACATCAAGCCATCTGCTGCTGCTGATAAACCTCATCTCCAAATTCTTGGTCCTCCCCTCTCTTCCAGTTTATATACTCTCGTATGCAATTCTTTCAAATATTTTTCTCCAATTATCTTACTCATAACTGTTGTCTGTGATTCAACATGTAGTATTGTGGCAATAATATATGTAGGTTATGGTTGATCCTGATGCTCCAAATCCAAGTGAACCAAGACTGAGGGAGTTGCTCCACTGGTAATTACATTATATATCATGCTTATCTCTGCTACTGCATAAAATTTGGCATAATTAATGTTTCTGTTGCAGGATTGTTGTAGATATTCCTCATGGACATGATGCTACCAAAGGTATAGCTTTTCCATTTTGTTTCTTTCACCTGAAAACATTGGTCTTAATCATTATGAGGAGAAAATGAGATTCAAATTAATTTAAAAAACTCTTTCTAGACTTTCATCTAATTCACAAAGTGAGTCAAATCTAAACAAAACTTTGATTCTAAACTGAATTTTCATGTAATACAGGAAGAGAGTTGGTGGCTTACATGGGACCCCGCCCAACTATAGGAATTCACCGGTATATTTTGGCACTCTTTAAGCAGGAAGGAGCAATGGGGGGAGGGAGTCAACTTCCGGATGGCCGTGCCAACTTCAGTACTCGCCAATTTGCTGCTCAAAACAGGCTGGGGCTTCCAGTTGCTGCAGTGTATTTCAATTCACAGAAGGAACCAGCAATGAAGAAGCGCTAGCTGATACTTAAAGAGTTCAATATTTGGTAGATTTTGTGATACAAACATTCAATACAAGGATATAGAATAGATTGATAGGGTGATGGAGATGCATGGATGTTTGTTGTCTGTCTGTCTGTCTGGCTGGCTGTCTGTGTATATAATTTTCATTAATTTTGTCTGAATTTCATCGAAGGTCAGAACACTGAATCATGAAGTAGAGAAATTGTTGGATTGGATGTGTGTAAGATAAGCCAATGTTTCTATGTAGGGCAAAACCTTAACCAACGACTTGAACTGAAACAAGTTAAGTTTGAACTTGACACCACAAATTGGTTAAGATTATATTTATTTTTGAATTTTACTCATTAAAATTAAAAATTCAATTCTTTACAATAGATTACATTATTGTTGATTTTTCTTGACTTGTTTTATTATAATATAATAAGCAATTTTTTAATTTGTGATAAAATTCAATTATTTAAAAAAAAAAAAGGCAGCAAATTTGTCTATCAAGACTCAGTTTCTCAGCCAGCAACTTTAGCCATTAGGATAGGGGATTTTTTTTTCTTTTAAGGATAGCAATAGATAGTAAATAAAATGATATTTGTTACTGTTTAATTTGTTTATATGGGATTTAGATAATTATAAATAGATAATTAATGTATTTGTATAAAATATTTATTATTTGCAATGGATTCAGAATGGAAATAAATATTATTTTTCTGATATTCAATATTTAAATTTATTTAAAATTTAATAAATAATAATAAATATTTGAATTCATTATCGATTTACATATATAAAATATATAAAATTTTATACTTGTAAAAAGTTTCAAACTTTAAAAAATAATTTTTATTTATTATTAATTAGGAATAAACTTAAATTTTAAATCAAATTCTTAGTTATTTAATATTTTAATAAAATATTTAAATAAATAAATATTTTAACATATTCAAATATTTAATAGATATTACTTATTTAAATGAATTTGAATTTAAAAAATAAAATAAAATATAAATAAATATTATAAATATTAAACAACGCCAAATATTGTTTATAAAAAAACAATAAATATCTTCCGATGTCATTCTTAAATTTTTATCTTTTTCCAAAATGTTTGGAGTTTCTTTGATCTTTTCTAAGCTGTCCTTTCAATAAATTTACTAAATTACCCTTTAATAGATTTAAGACAAAATAAGGCAGAGTTAGTGGGGGTGAGCAATTAGCCGTCGGTTTAGTTTGAAAAAAATAATAATAAATTTAATTGATTTTTATTTAATAAATAATTAAATTAATTAAATATTTTTAAATAATTAATAATAATTGAATCAATTAAAATTAATTTGATTTAATTAATTTAATTAAATAATTAAATGTTTTTATTTTTTATTATAAATAATTATTTAATTATAAGTTTAATTTAATAAAATTTAAATTTAAATATTATTCAAATTAAATAATTTTAATAATATTTTATAAAAAATAAATAAAAATATTTATCTTAATTTTTGATTTTTATTTATTAAAAAATTAAAAAATTAAATATTAATTTTAAAAATTAAAAATCAATCGAATTAATAAATTTAATCGATTTAAAAAATTAATTATAATTAAAACAAAATAAATCAAATAATTTAATCAAATTTATTCAATTTAGATCGATTTAATTGGTTCAAAAACTTTTGCTTACCTGGCAATTGCGTGGGCCCCAAAAGACCCGAGTCGACGACGTTGTCCCCAATCTTAGGCCCATTGTAGCAGGCAGGCGCAGATCTCTTCTTCCTTGCACTTCATCTCGCGCCGCTAGGTTTTACCATAACGAAACAAAGAGAATGAAGTTTGGCCAAATAAAAGGTTTCGATTGTTAATCAGAAGAGAACCATCGATGAGAAAATGCTTTCAAGAACTTCGTCTTCTGTTTCTTCTTCTATTATTCATCGTCTTCGCTCGTTAGCCTCTCCAAAGCTCCCTCTTTTATCTTCTCTCTCTATATATCGCGATGTCCAGGTTCATCTCCTGATCCTTTTGTTTTTACTTTTTTATCAAAAACATTTTCTGGGGTTACTTTTTCCTGGGTCTGGGTTTTTTTGGGTATTAGTTTCTCTGGGAACTTTGGTTTAAGGGTTTTAAATCTATTCTTTTTGTTGTTTTAGAAAAGGTGAAATATTTTCTATCTTTTAGGTGTAGCAAGATGTAATGATTACCTTAATGAATGATTTCACAATGAATTATTGCATTAAAGGTTTGAAAATCTGTTTCCAACAACTTGGGATGTTGAGTTTAATGAAATAAATTAAGAAAGTAGAATTCTTGCTGCCATGTTGTGTGAAATTGACAGATTGGTTTTGAATACTTGCCTTTATGTGTAAGAAATTTAGAATTTACATGGTAAATGATGAGAGAATTGTCGGGATGCAGGCTTTTAACATTTGCAAATATTAGGAAAGTTGCACAATCTGCTATTTCAACCCAGACAAGAAGCCGCTTAGAATTTACGAAGTATGGAACGGTTGTTACTGTTGGGTTGTGGTTGCCACAATTTAGAGTGTACTCCCAGTATTGGTTCAACATTGGAGGAAGGGCTCCATTCTTATTGCAGAATACTAAGGAAGGGTTGTGCCGAGGTTATTTTTCGAGGAACCATTCCTTCCTCTCTGCAAGTAGTGCAGTGACTCATCATGGCCAAGTTGCTTGGAAAAGGCTTACCCATAAATGTTCTGCCAGTAGTCGTATGTTCCCTCACATAGGCAGGATTGCTCAAGCAGTCAGCTTAGCTCTGTACCGCTCGCACCTGATAGTTCCTGGTATTTTTGGCTTGACATGGGGACGACTGGCATTGTCACAGAGGACTTTAGTAGAGACAGATTACTACCCATCATCAAATTCTTTGTATATCCGTGCACAAGATGGCCATGCTTTTGTTTCCTCTATGCTACTTTCAGTAGTAGAAGTTGTTATCTTGCTGGTGAGGGCTCTCTATCTTGCAGTTTTGTTCTCTCCAAGCATACTAATGGCACCATTTGCTGGCTCTTGTGGTCCCCAATTTAGGAATGTGTGGCTTGAGGTTGTGCATCGCACACTTGAAACAGCTGGTCCAGCATTCATAAAATGGGGTCAATGGGCAGCAACACGACCAGATCTCTTCCCTAGAGATTTATGCACCAAGCTTTCAGAGCTTCACAGCAAAGCTCCGGAGCACAACTTTGCCTACACAAAGAAAACTATTGAAAGAGCATTTGGCCGCAAGCTTTCTGAAATTTTTGAGGATTTTGAAGAGGAACCTGTAGCATCTGGCAGTATAGCTCAGGTGCACCGGGCTTCTTTGAGATTCCGCTATCCTGGTAAGCAGGTCAAGCCCATGGTAGTTGCAGTAAAGGTTAGACATCCTAGTGTCGGTGAATCAATTAGGAGAGATTTTATGATTATCAACTTGGTGGCGAAGTTATCAAAGTTCATTCCAACTCTGAACTGGTTGAGATTGGATGAGAGTGTCCAGCAGTTTTCTGTTTTCATGATGTCTCAAGTTGATCTTGCAAGGGAAGCTGCCCATTTGAACCGTTTTATATATAATTTCCGAAGCTGGAAAGATGTTTCTTTTCCTAAGCCTGTGTATCCACTTGTGCATCCTGCTGTTTTAGTGGAAACTTATGAGCAAGGCGAAAGTGTTGCACACTATGTTGATGGACTTGAAGGACATGACCGGATTAAGACTGCACTTGCTCATATTGGAACTCATGCACTTTTAAAGATGCTTTTGGTAACTATTTTTAATTGGTTAGCTTATGCTTCTGGTAACATTGTTGTTGATATCTACTTGATGATGCTTGATCCCTCTTTCTTGAAAAATAAGAGTATGATACGATTCTGGTTTCCAAAAGATTAATTTTCTTCTTTCAGGTGGACAACTTTATTCATGCTGACATGCATCCTGGAAATATCCTTGTCCGGGTGTCTCAGAGCAAGGCTTCTCGAAAACGGCTCTTTAAATCAAAGCCTCATGTCATTTTCCTTGATGTAGGCATGACTGCTGAACTTTCTAAGAGTGATCGAGTAAATTTATTAGAATTTTTTAAGGCTGTTGCCCGAAGAGACGGTCGCACTGCTGCAGAGTGTACGCTTAGATTATCGCAACGACAAAACTGCCCAAACCCAAAGGCTTTTATTGAGGTGATGTATGTAGATGTAACCTAAACTGCCCTAAGACCCAAAAGATTTTAGGATAGTGATGAGATAGGAAAACGGTTTCTTTGTTATCGTCTTCTCCTTATTTTCCCATTTAGTCTACCCAAATGCTTTCTTTTATCCTCCCTTTCTCTATCGGATTGTCATTTTAGATGAATGCCTTAATGGACTATCATCTCTATTCCAAGTCAGACTATCTTTATTTTATCATCCAATCCCCTCCCTTTTCCCATGCAATTTATTTATTTCTATGTCTATGTTATCTTCTGCTGCTTGGTTTTCTAATACCTTGTTTCAACAGGAAGTGGAAGAAGCATTCACTTTTTGGGGTACTCCAGAGGGTGATCTAGTCCATCCAGCTGAATGCATGCAACAACTGCTTGAGAAAGTACGGCATCATAAAGTCAATATTGATGGCAATGTATGCACTGTGATGGTCACAACTTTGGTTCTTGAGGTAACTTCTTTCTTCATTTTGTGCTGAGTCCAAACTTTAATGTATTACCTTTGACCAACCAATTAAGATGTCTTTCTTGACTCCCCCTCGGTTTTTTTGATGCTACGAAAGAACTCCTTTATGTTTACTCATGTTTATATATTGTATTTTATGTCTTTTAGAAGGAAACCAAATAAATAGCTGTCATCATAGTCGTAGGAACAAATCTGCCTGGCTAGTTGAGTCTTGAAGTTAAGAATGGAGGGGTATACCCATATGGTGATTGTTTCATAATGGTCCTAAGAGTGACTTGCTAAAATGCCTCTACAATATGAATATGAACCTAGTTGATATAGTCATTATTTAATTTAGTATCATGTTTTGGTACTTGTTTAATTTTGTAGGGTTGGCAAAGGAAACTTGATCCAGGATATAACGTGATGCAAACGCTACAGACTCTACTACTCAAAGCTGACTGGGCAAAATCTCTTTCCTACACTATTGATGGGCTGATGGCTCCATAAAATATTATCTGAAGTACAGTTAGTTGAATGCATCATTTCAATAGATCTCTAGGATCATGTGTTTCTCTTTCTAGAAAACAATTTTGATAGAGCTGAGACCCGAGAATGTAACCGGTCCTGAAAGGCATTAAAAATATCATTTTTTATCATTTGTCACTTTCATCAATTCATTGCTGTTATATCTTAGGCCCCATAAGTAACAGGTGAAAACAGTGAAAGAAAGGGGCAACCCGAGAGAAATAAAGTATCAAAAACTATTCATTTTTTCTTTAAATTATTAGTGCAAAAAGGAGGGGAAAAAAATTCATTCAATGTACCAGAACTTAATTAGATAACTGTAGAAATTTGTTGAAATTTTGTTGAGCCGACTGCCGAGCGACGTGGATTGTATACATTTGTTCTTCACATGCCTTTTCCTATGTACCTAGTCAATGAAATAATCTGAAATATCTTGTTCTGTGCTGTGATATCAGTCACTTAGGTTTACTTTGTAATGCCAGATTGAATTGGATGTAAGAAAACAATGAAAAAGATTGCTCGGCTGATCACTTAATTGTCTAAAGAAGCTGCATTGCATAGTTCATTTGTCAATGATGCAAAAGATGCAGCAACTATCATTTCCTAAATTATCAGGGAAAGGAAGCAAAGTAAAATTTTCCAACAATATATGGATGAAATGATTCATGAAAGTTTGTGTATTAAATTGTGCAAAGGCAAATACCCATCAACTGCATAAATAAACGAAATGCAAGTTCGAGTTTTCTTCTATGGATTATGCTGAGATCAGTTATTGCATATTGGGGAAATTAGCTGTGGTTGGTATTGGACAGATTAAAAGTAAAAATATTATGAATGATTTCCCAACCTGACTTAAGTTGTACCAGGTATTACGCATTTACAAAGTCAGTTCCAGCAACGTGGTCTTGTTCCACATAATTCGACTTCCATTGCCAATAGGGGGAGAGAAAGAATGGACAAAAGCATCAAAATTTCTGCATGCAACAACAGCCACAAATTGAGTTTTGAGAATCCCTTACATTACATGTCAATGTTCTTGAATTCTCAACTACTCACTGCACCTACTCCGTACATGTAAGCTCACGAATTTCTTTTATGGCTCCTCTAATCCTATACAGGGCCATCTTCTCAACCTGATTTTAGAGTAAAGGCAGAATCATATTCACATTAATACAGAAAATGAACACTGTTCACTGGAGTAATATTTTGGCAAAGTTTACCTCAAACTTCTCTGCTTTGGCTTTGTGATCTTCGGGGAGTAGACGAAGTTCATCCATCAACTGGATACACTCGGTTACATTTTCCGGAGAAACAAAGTCCAAAACCACGTTAACGCAGGACTACAGGTTGTAACATATCAGAGGAAAGAAAATAATAGTTATAGCCATATAAATTGGTAAAATTTTTTTGCCAAAAGAAAAACTTGTAATTCATAAAAAGAAACAAATGAAGCAGCATATGGAGCAAATATAAAATTATTCAAAATTTGCACATAACAATAAATTCCATTACAAGAATTCAAGACCAAATATATCAGTCGTATACATTACCTTAACATTCCTAATCTGGTATGGACAGCCAGCTGGAACCATAACAGCTTCTCCAACATGTTGCTCAAAAGTCCAGGGTTCAATTTCTAGAAGCAATATGAGGTGGAAAGAAATTTCAGTAAATTTGTCCTCAACTATAACAAGGGATAAACAAAACTTTATTAACTCACCATACTCATCCTTCAGCCTTGTTTTGTGACTTTTGTCAAGAAAGAAATTCTGATCAAGAATAGGATGAACCACCTGCGGCAGAAAAGAAAAAAAATCAGCATTATGTCCATTCTACTAGCACATTGTCAAGTCTCGGGACTGGTCTTACATGCTTGCGAAAGCCACATGTGTGACCAAACTCATTTGAGTGCTTACTAAGGTACTCCATAAGCTTTGGAACATCCTGCCTTCGGAAGACATCCCATTCTGCTCCACAAGACTTGGAGAATTCTGTTCTTTCCCCAAAGACTTCCTGATTTTCTGATGTTTCTGAGCTGTGAATGGTGTAGAATGGAAGTACTGCCACTTCAGAATTTGAATTACAATCAGAATCAGAACCAGAGTCAGAGCTATCTTCATTATCATGGTACACAGCTCTATCTTTGAAACCTAAACCATGCACTTCATGTGCAGCAGGAGGGAATTGGGAGGATACTTTTGGTACTCTATTGTGAGCATGCATTTCTTTACTGATCATATCATTCAATCCTACTTCTTCCATGTTTTCACCATGTGGTGAAGATTTTCCCTTCACTTTATTAGCCATCTTTTGATCAAGAGTAGTCTTAGGAAGCTCCCTTTGGTCTTGAGATTTTTTCTTTTTCATTAACTTTCTTATTTTATTAAGCTGCTTCATGGATACAGGGGCATCTGTAGCATGTGCCAAAACATTAACCTGGGAAAGAAAGAGGGAAAAAGAAAAGACAAAATAAATGGCAGAGATTACTTATATCACCATAATGTTTTCAGAAAGGATGATTAATGTATGTATTAAAGGGTTTTCCACAATAATAGATATAACTTTATGGTTGTGCTTTAGTGGAAGCTTCATATTTTACTTTTGAACAAATTCAAATAATATTCCCAATAATTGATGCTCAGTAAACTCCATAAGAATGTAAATTGCTAAATGTTTCAAATTATTTCTTGCTAAGTTCACCTTAGAACATGATCCTTCTAAGGGATGATAGGATTTGTCAGACTACACAAACTTTGGCCAAAAAAGACTATAAAAACAATCATTTTGTAAAGGTAGAAAATTTTATGGACAAGGATATGTGCATGATCAATCAGACACAACACACCATGGTAAAATCATATTTTGAAAATTGCAAAAGTGCATAGCATGAAAAATGAGTAAGAGATTATGTGCATGTCAATATGCAAGATTATGCCTGAATCAGAAACTTATTTTTCATTATGATATGTGCACTTGACTGTTGTTTATTTTATCAGAATGTGCACAACATACAGAAACTGTTTACCACCAAATATCATCGAGCAAGGGCAATTTACATTTGAGTGGAGATAACTTGAATAAAATGTGCATCATCCCAAGTTTTAAGAGATGGGATAAATTGATAAAGATACAAGTAAAGGATAGAAATAGTCATACCACATCACATAAACTGTAACATATTTTTGTCACCAAATTAGCCTGTACAAGTTCCTCACCACTGGAATATGAGATAGAGATACATGGGCCTAGGTCAGGCTTTGTGATTCCTTGCGGGGACCTTGCAGCAATATTCAAAAGACCACTTCTAGGATCCATATATTCTGGAAGTGGTAAAGCTCGAATGATTTCAGCATAATGATCTGGAAATTGCTCTTGAAATAAATGAGAAGAAAGCCAGCCCTTCAGTTTCAGATTCTCATCACACATATTAGATTGTGCCAGCCCCCTTAATGACCCCAAAAATAACTGCTTAATACCAATTTCAACCTGTCATTATATAAAAGGTAAAATTGTTCATAACCTCACCTAACTGAAGATCCTAGAAGGTGTTGAAACAGAATTCAAAAAGCAAAAATACCAACTCCCATGAAAAGTTAAAAAAAAAAAAGTGAACCAAAAATAATGACTGAGAATCAAGCAGATGACATGGAAGTTTCAATGCATTTTCATAAATGCCCTATATTTGGAGTGTGGGGTGTGCGTGCATGCTAGACAGAGAAAGAGTGAGAGAGCTGGAGTAATGAACTAAAGAGGACCAACTTTATCTTTCTATAACATGAAAAAATGTATAATTTGGTATGGCAGGTGATCTAGTTTAAAAAGCTAACCTCAAACCAGTCCAAGCAACTTGTTGCTTTAGCTAATTCCTCATTCTCAGATTTGGCAACACCACTCTTAAGATATGAGCAAAACAAGAATATTGGATCCCAACTCAAATCTGATGTATCCTTAAGCACATCTCGAACTATCACAGGATGGCCTTTACCCCAGTGCTTCTGGAAGTGCTCCAGGTTATCACCATGAATGTTCCTGATATTGGGGTAAAATAGGAAGTTATCATTTGAATTTTCTCTCTTAGCAGCCTCTTGCAACTGCTTCACTCCTTTAGCTTCATAATCTGCCCCAGGACATAGCGGGCAGCATGAAAAAATATCAAAGACTTCTGGCAATTCATAGCTGCCGACTATTTCTTCAGCATTTATTTCCAGCTCTTTGAACCACTTTAGAGGCAAAATACATCTCAGATTAAGAAGGCCATCACCACAACCACCAAACTCTGTGGGTGGGCATGATATAGGAACACTGCAATCAGGAGCTTTCCGAGTAGGCAATGATGCAGAAGAATCAAAATATCTACTGTCATGATTTTTCTTAGAGATTCTAACAGATTTCTTATCTGAAAGGCGAATGCCTGGTGAACCAGTTTTCTGTCTATATGGGCATTTGCAGTTAAGTTCCTTTATACTTCCAACTAAACTCCCTCGAAAGATATCCCGACAACAACTTAAGCAGAGGTTATATGAACACCTTGGGCAGCTTCTATGGAAATCCAGTATGAAAGTCTTGCAGTTGCTGCTGCTCCAGAAGTAATATCATCACCAAAGATCAACAAAACAAAGTAAATATATTATGAATACACTTTAAGCTGCAAAGAGCATACCAACAATATTGCTTATTGACACCAAACTCAGCTGGTTGGACCCGAATATCGGAGAGTTTTTTGCCTATGACACACAAGAAAACGTCGCAACTTCTTCCATTGATTAATATAGAATGGTAAAATAAAAAATTCAAGAAGAATCATTGTCATTACCTTTTATGTTTGCCTCTACTTCAATCTCAACACTCTGGTCTTGGTTTATTTGCTTCAGAACAGGAAGAAGCATGCATATCAAATAATGAAAATATAACACCTTATCCACTTTGTTTTTGTCCCTTAGAAACTCCTGAAACATGTTTTTCGCATTAGGCAAAACATCAGATCTAAGCATGGAAAAATGAAAGCAGGATATGTCAAATTAAGGCATTTCAGATATCATCAGACCTTACATTCAGTGTCTCTATGTTGACTAACTGAGCAGGCCTTGCAGCCACAAGTTCCACGACATACTGGACAAGCTATCTTGACTTCTTCTCGCTTAACAAAATACCTATATGCAATTCAATGTCAAAAGATTAAACCAACACCTATGTCTTAACTCCAACCAACTGGTGCAAATCCAACATTACAGATTACATTAAAAAAATAGAGATGAGACAAAGACTAAACACGATTTCGATGCATCATTTCAAGCCAGATTGGGAAAGTGTTTCCCAAAAGACTAGTTTGGTTTGGGAAGGTCCATACAAACAATTAAGAAACTAGGTGAATAACATCCAGAGTGAAAAAAACAGGTATTTATGCCTTAAATTTATTGCATTTTGGTATACTATTAATATCCATGTAGCATAAATAAACAAACATATAACTACATTACAATTACAATTCAAACAAAAGCAAAAACAGAAAAGATCACTTACTGTTCTTTTATGCAATCCAAGCAAAAAAACTGCTGCTTACAACTGGAACACTTGATCAAACTAGGAACACCACCCTTTCTACACCAATGACACCTTATTCTTCTCCCTCTCCTCAAATTCACCACTTTCTTCTTATATGGCATAACCTTCATTGAGAAAAAAATAATAACCCACATTGAGAAAAAATAATAACCCACATTGAGAAAAAAATAATAACCCACGATTAAAAAAACCAAACAATTTTTTTTTAAAAAAAAAAAACCCAAATAATACCTGCAATGTACCCACGTGCAATGGCTCAATGTTCTTAGACCGAAACCGCCTTCTGGTAATTGCAACAGTATCAGTTTCAGTTTCCCCTACTTTAACATTAAAACAAGATCCTGAAACAGAACCGGAACCGGAACCCGTACCAGAACCGGAACATGAACCTGCATTATCAAAATGTGGACTTGAAGAAGAAATAGCCATTAGCCCATTAGGCAATTCTCTTATCAAATCTTCTTCTTCTTCTTCATCAAAATCACTACAATTACTTTCTTTCCTTTTCTTCTTTTTCTTCTTCTCATTTTCTCGTTTCAAAACCATTCTTATAAGCTCCAATGGCAAATCTCCTCTTCTCAGTTTCATCTTCCGAATGGATTCATCTAACGCCTCGGATTCCCCTCCGATCACGCGCTTTCGCTTCATTGGCTTCGCTAATTGCAGCAACTTTGCCCTAATTTCGAGCTTGTTCTTCTCGAAAACCCTCTTTTTTCTTTGCATTTTGAGGGATTCTGGTACTTTCTGTCTCTTTTGTCGGTGACGGCCTTGGATATGGTGAAGCTCGCACAGCTTTTTGCCTTCCATTACTCGTCTCTTGCACCTCCATTGCCTCCCGTCGGTTCGTTTGCACCGGAGATGGTCCGGTAGAGCACCTTCTTCTTCCTCCATTCTTCTGTTTGCTGATTTTCCGGTAAAAATAATAACTTTTTCCGGGAAGATAAATGGTATTCTCGAGAAAACGGGGAAGAGGGCCTGGGTTTAGATTGCAAAGAGCGGAGAGCGATTTTCCGAAAGGATTCCAAGAGTTAAGATTAGCGGTTTATTGGGAGTAGTAGAGTAAGAGAGGGAAAGGGAAGTGGCAGATATGGTAATTTTGAGGAAAGATGGAGCCCAGTTTGGCCTTGGAAACTTTCCAAATGGTGGACAGAGAGGAAGCTTTGATCGAACGTTTCACAGTTTGAGACAATTAAGGGCACTCGGGGTTTTTTCAGATCTTTTCAAAAAATGCATTTTTTGAGCTTTGATTACAAGGGTTATATTTATAGCAGATGCTTTTACAGAAACGTATCTTTAGCTTTTTATTGGATTTTTCTTTGTTTTTTCTTCTATTTGTTTAGGGGTGTTTGAACATTGCCCCATCTAATCAGTTGATAGCAGATTTGCAAATGTGATAAAAAAATTTGAGTATACAGCAACTAATCAGATGATGATTTGATCGTTTTACTTGAATGGCAATTGCCAATTGCGGTAAGGAATTGAGTTGTATAAGCAATTCAATCAGTTTTAATGAGCAAAATTTGCAGCTGAAATATACAGATTTCCAGCAAAAGAGATTGGTCATGGTTTTTTATTTTTTATAATATGATGCAGAAGAAATGTCTGATATGAATCATTTCAGGTTTGTTAGAGAAATGGTGGTGCAGATTTTGCACTGTGGTGGTTTTACAGGAATCATTGTATGAAGTTTTTGGTTCTTACCTGAGAGTTTATAATGATCAAAAGAAAGCATTATTGTCAGGAAAGAATTCTGGTAGTGATCATGACAGGATAGAGGCACCATTATCAGATTAGATGCTAGTTTAATTTTTTTTGGCAGCAGACCAACTTATCCTTTACATTGATAAGCACTATTATATCAGCTGTCATTACAAGTAAACTAACAGTTTTTTAATGCACAAATTTGTTGCAGCAAAGAGGCTAGAGAAATTGTCCTACTGCAATGACAAAATGCCAAAAAAATTTGCATTTACTTTGGAAGTCCAGTGATCAATCATCTAATCATTAAAGTTCCTCTGTTCATTCAATTCATACCACCAATCTCATTCTGTAGCAGGGCATGAAGCAGAAACCACAAATCCCTTTGCAAAATCTGATCTAAATTTCCAGCATTATTTTTCCAATCCTATACACTTGCTAATATAGTACCATTTTCATGGTTTTGATCCTGATTAACTGGACAATCAATCTCTCGGTGAGAAACAATTTGTATGTACCTCAACCATAGAGACAATGTGAAAATGGGGAAATAGTGAGAAATGAGGTACTGCTACTACTATATATCATGCTGACAAAAAGTAGCGCAATATCTATGCAAATTTTGTGGAACCCTGAAACTTATCCCGTTTCTCGAGATACTTAATTTTTAGACGAAAGAGAAAAGACTTTGCAGCACTCCAGGGCCCATTTATCTCTGGTTCCCATTTTGCATGCTGCTTTGCTTTTAATGCGAATTATTGGTATTGGGGTAGTCATCGTCAGACTAGTTGTTGTTGTGCAGTTGGCGTCTGTTTTGATCTGGATTCAGGAACAGCAAGAGAAGGTATCAGGATTTGTTAACCTGGAAATTATGGCCGTAGCCACTGGAGTCTCGAGTCTAGGAAATGAAATGGTGCTCCCGTTGTTTGGAGATATGATGCTAGTTGTCAAACACGTTACCACTTACCAGAGATTGCCTGATTCGATTAGTCAAATGTGATGGATTATCATTGGTATTTCAAGTTTCAAATTTCAATTAAGCTATTGAAATTCTTCAATAAATTATTTGATTTAACTTTGATAATTCAGACCCCAAAGGGAAATCTAATTATAGAAAAACTAAATGATTTTTCAGTTTTCATCAAGAAATGAAGAATTGCTCCTAAGATATTAATTTCCAAAGTATTGAAGAAAAAGGCTGAAAAAGGGGAACCAACCAAGAGATATAAAACTTGTTACATCTGTATTCTCTTGACTCTTGAGTCTTGACGGCCTTTGTTCCAGAAGAGCAAAAAACATGATTGAGTGCAGGTTGGCGAATTCATCCAGCAAGGCGCATAAGCCATAAACTGAAAGAATTCATCAACGCTGCACTCAATGATGTTTCTTCCATCTGGGAATCTCCAAATGTTTGCTTCACCTACAATAGGATCCAACTATTGAACTATCCAACCAATATATATGTATTGCAGAACAGGCTCATATACGAGTTGCAGTACATGTAACTTGAATGTGGTTTGTACTGCCATATTAGTTGCCAAATTGGACCCCATATCGTCTCCCTTCGACATGTTGGCTAAATATTTAAATATTTAATTCCCCTTCTTTCCTGGGAGTCCGAATGAAGTTGCTTCTATTGAGCGACTTCAGGCTGTACTGGTTTCTTTTACTTAATCTTGTACTACATTTAACCCCAATATCCAACTACGGAATTCATTGTCTGGTTTACCATTGATTTTCTTTTATATGTAGTATGTAAAACTTCGTTGGATTAGTCAGAACTCAGAAACTTCGTTTTAACAACCGTCAGGCTCCAGGTAGGGACCACTTGATTGGAAGGTCAAATGGTAAAACTTTGACAATTTTCTTTATATTGATAGCACACCTCCATCGACTAGCTTTTTACCTCCTTTAAGGAAAGGGCGTTTCGATCTTCCATAAAGAAGGGAAGCCTATCTTTATCATAAAAAACAATGGGTTTGATGTTAACACCTGCTTTTGATTTTGCAGGAATCCTGTTATTATGTGAAAAAATAATCTTGCAAGACATGTGCAATGATTTCTTGATTAGCTATACAGTAAAGTTAAATGTGGAAAAGGAGATGAATATGCCTAGATTAAGCATAACAGACAAGAAGAAAAATAGCAGACAGGAAGAATGATAAAAAAAATGATTAACTGTACACATTTACAATATGTATTTTACACTTAAAATCTGCTTATTTTCTGCGAAGACTGATCTTACCCTCCGCGTCTTCATGGACAATACGTAGAATTTCATTTGGAGGAATGTTCCACCAAATTTGAGGTTTCTCCAGCTGATGTCCAATTTCAGCCAATTTATCAGCAGCTCTATTGCCTTCCCTATAGATATGAGTCACAATACAATTGTTAAGCTCCGGTATGATCTGGTTTATATGACTAACATGTCTTCGTAATTCTGCACATTTAACCTGCCTCCTCTGGACAATGATATCAATCAATGTTTTGGCGTCACCTTCAAGCCATACATCAGTCCAACCATTTTCCAGCACCAACTCTAGGCCTCGTCGCAATGCAACTAGTTCTGCAACAGTGCTAGTGGTTCTTCCTATTGATTCAGCATAACCAAGTAAGAATTCAGCCTTGTGGTTCCTGAAGACACCTCCTATGCTAGCTTTTCCCGTACCTTTGCAGGATCCATCAAAGTTTAATTTAGTCCATCCAATTTCAGGTTTTCCCCATGCCACTGGAATAGGTTCTTTGTGCCAGTTCCTAAGCAACAATGGAAATGGGTTGTGTATCAGTCTTTGGCATCTAAAAATATTGCTGAAGGCCAACATCATTTCGTCCTTAAAAACTACTCAAAACTACTTAAACGAAAAGGAAAAGGAAAATGAAAGTGGATGGGAAACAAGTACGGGTTGATACCACGGTTAGGAAGCAAAATTTTTGACAAGCAAAAACCAGGAGAAATCTTCAGAGAACTGATAAGACGGATGAAGAAAAACCAGAGGTATATTAGGCTCATAGAAGTTTATTTCCTTCCTTTCGGCAATGGATTATAAAAGTTAGAGTGGAGATAAAGCAAAGAACATTCAGAAATTTAGAGCAAGAAGGAAACATTTTGATATTCATATGATTAAATTGGCCAGGGAGATTTCTTCAAGAACTCTCAAGCATCTTCTGTTAATTGGATTCTTAAGAAAAGTCTGCTTGCTTGATTGGTTACTTGCATGAGATGCAAGATGGAAATGCTGGCTACCATCAATATATAACTGTAAAATTTAATTAATTGCTATTATCCAAAGACAAACTGAATTTTAACTATTTTTATATATCATTAACCTATACTTTAGGGTCACTTTCAAGTGAATTGCGGTTAAGGTACAAAGGAAAGGATGGTGTAGAAAGGATCTACTTGATTTATTTGACTTGGAATGGAATGTATTTACTTGCCATTTATGATCTAATTTTATTCCTTGGAGAGTAGTGCAGGCAGGTCTGATCAGTCCTTATATTCTCCCCTAATATCCTGATGGTGAAAAGAAAATAGAGAAAAAAAATCAACAATAATTTTGTATGATTATTTCACGAGTTGTAGGGATCTTCCCACCATCTATTTTCTATCTATCTATATATATATATATATATATATATATATATATATATTCATTTCATCTCAATTAGGTTTATGCATAAGAAAGCTTGAGTTTCTTGCAGGTCACTTGGGCTATGATAAAATGGGTATGGAAAATGGATGGATGTGTAAGAAAAATTAAAATGATGATTTACAAAGCTTTGGTCTTTTCAACCGCAATAATTCTGACAAAGTAAAGATAATCTAAAATTCCATCATATAACAAGATAGATTTTGATCTTTAGAAGGCATCCTTTTTATCAATGAGCCACAACCAGTCCAAAGCAACCCCTGCAAATATGCCACCTATTAAACATAGTACTAGTAGATTACGTAAGGCTTTTTGCTCAGGTCCCTGCCAAAAAGCTAAAAAAAAATGACGAACTTTCATCAGAAATCACTAAGAATACTAAGACTTCTAGCAAATTTCATCCAAATAAAAGGGGAAAAATAAGATTTAATGCAAATAACTATGCTTACACCAACCTTGTAACCCTTTGGTGCTGCTGTAAGGACACAGACTGTAAGGTAACCATTTGTTAATCCCAGGAAGGATACGAGCAGTATCATCCAGTCCTCATCACCATACTTGGCACTGAAGTAGAAAGCAAGGATCAGAAAAAACCGAGAAAGTACTGCAATCGTAAGGCCCTTCCTGGACTCTATCTTCGGGAATTTCACTAGGGGAAGATATCTTGATATCAGATGCCACACACTGTAAGATGCTATCAGCACAAGAGGATACCAATCACATGGAATTTATCTTCAGTTTACTAAGCAATTTCCCAGGAGTACCAATACTATCAACCGCAAAGCAAGTTCAATATAGTCAAGGTGAACAGGTTAGGAAGTAAAATTTAATTGCTTGATACTTGATAGTCTTCAAGTTGCCTTAAGGCCTATAAGTATTCAATATAACATGGACAAAAACTCCAAGTACATATATCTCTAAGTAATGCTAGTGATGTAAAAGCTTTCAAATTGGTGGGATGATGTGGTAAAGACTTCGTTCAATGGAGTATCGGAAT